GAGTTGTTGATAGCTGTCTTTGCTTTCCGATCTGCTAACTCATTACCAGGGATCCCTATATGTGACGGCACCCAAAGGATGCTGATATTTTTGTATGGGGTGTCGCTTATTTCGGTCTTGATTATATTGACCAATGGGTTTTTACAGTATATTGTATCCAGTAGTTTGACAGAATTTAGTGAGTCCGATATGATAATCCAATCGTTGGTTGAGCTTTGTTTAACATACCGAACAGCTTCAAGTATGGCGTATAGTTCTCCAGTGAGCACTGTAGTTGACTGCGGCAACTTGCTTTCCACAATTGTTGTGGGAGTTACTATAGCTGCTCCTACATATGTGTCTGATTTGGAGGCATCTGTGTATATTTCGCTGTAACTGCTGTATTGGTGCCGAATGGATGAAAAGTGTTGGATGATTACTTCGCTCGGAGTGTCTTGCTTGTTAAATTTCGTCAGTTTAATGTTGATGTTAGGAGGCTGAATGGTCCAAGGAGAAATAGATGAACTGGTAGTGGCTAGGACCGGAGGCAGTCTGTGTATATGTAGTCGCCGTAAATACAGTTGTACCCTATGGTGAAAGGATATACCATATGACACGTTTCTAGGGTTCGTTCGATTTCTTAATAAAATGTGTCTGTATCCTGGCATTTTGGTGGCATACTGAAAACTTAAAATTTCTCTTCGTACCTTCGTCTATGGGTGTAGTTCTGTAGGCTCCTAATATCAAGCGAAGTGCAGTGTTATGTAGTGTATCCAGTGGTTTCAGTATAGATGGCTTTGCGGAATTGTATGCTACACAACCATAATCTAATTTTGATCTAACTAGAGTTCGGTAGATACTTAGAAGAGTTTTGCCGTCTGCATCCCAATGTCTATTAGATAAGTATCGGAGGATAATTATTCCTTTCTGGCAAGATTGTGTCAGATAGGAGATGTGGCTTCTCCATGAAAGGCACTGATCAAAAATTACCCCAAGAAATTTGATTTCTTTAAAATATTCAAGAGCAATGTTAGCTAAGTGCAGTGGTGGTTTTGTGTGGTTAGGCTTTTTTGAGAATATAATGCACTGCGTTTTATGTGGTGAGAATGTAAATCCACTTCTATTAGACCAGTGTTCCAGCTGGTTCAATGTCGATTGAAGTAAATAGGTACTGGTTGTAATGTTCTTGCCTTTAATGTATATAATCATGTCATCAGCATACAGGCGTGCTTGTATAGGCTTTTGTATGCTTTCTATAATATCATTAATGGCTATAAGAAAGAGCGTTGGGCTAATGACAGATCCTTGAGGTAGGCCATTTACCTGTTCTCTCTTTTCAGATAGTGTGCCATTGGTTCGAACTTGAAAGTTTCTGGTTTTCAAGAAGTTTTGGGTAAATGCGAGAATATTTCCGTCATATCCCCAGTTTTGCAATTTACGGATTATGTCAGATTTCCATGCGGTGTCAAATGCTTTGTTAATGTCAAAGTATATTGCGGCACAATGTTGTTGGTCGGCGAATGCTTCGTGTATACATGATTCTAGGTCTATTATATTATCCAATGTTGATCTATTTGATCTGAATCCTGCCTGTTCGCATGCTAGCTGATTATTGTATTCCAAGTTCCAGACTAGCCTACGATTAATAATTTTTTACAATAGCTTACACATTGAGCATGTTAAGGAAATTGGTCGGTAAGACTCAGGTGCCTGTGGCGATTTGTTTGGCTTTAGGATGGGTATGATTATGGCTTGTCTCCATATATCTGGGAATACTTGTTCATTCCATATAATATTGTATATGTCCAAAAAGATATTTTTAGCTGAAGGTGTGAGATTTTTGAGGAAGATTGTTGGTATGTCATCTGGTCCTGGTGATGTATCTTTTAAATCAAGAAGAGCTTCTTCCATTTCTTGTTTAGTGATTGGTGTATTTATTGGACTAGATGTGTCTTTATTTGTAGCAATTACCGTTTCAGAGTGTCTTTTCTGGTTAAGGAATTGCGTGTTGAGATTCTCATCACTGGAGTTTCTAAAATAGGTCCTCGATAGAACGTTCGCAATATCATTGCTTTGAGTGTAAATTTGAGACCCTTCTTTCAGTAACTCAATATTTGTGTGTGATTTGGCTCCAGACATGCTCTTTATCTTTTTCCAGACTGTGGATACGTTAGTAGAAGTATTTATACTGGTCACGAATTTTCTTCATGATAACTTTTGTTTCGTTTTTATTATTGACCGTGCTTTAGCTCGCTTATGTTTGAATTCAGACAAGTTTTCAGTTGTTTTATGTCTTCGCATCTTGTTTAGTGCTTGTTTGCTTTCACGTATAGCCTTTTCACAATTTTCGTTCCACCAGGGAACTGGATTCTTATTATGTAAAATTTTTGTTTTACCCATGCATTGATTTGCAGCTTCCTTAATAATTTCCATGAATGATTCAAGAGTTGAGTTGATGTTGCTGGAAACCTTGACTCTCTCCACATTAGTATCAATATGGTGAGAGAAAGAGTTCCAGTCAGCCTTTTTTAGATTCCATTTTTCAATTGGTGGAGTACTGGTGGTGACTTCCTTATTTGTGTCTCTTATTATTATGGGAAAGTGGTCGCTTCCATATAAGTCATCAGCAACATTCCACTGTAATTGTGTTACTAAAATTGGTGAACATATGCTAAGGTCGATTGCAGAAAAACGCCCTGATGCAGAATCTAATCTAGTGCTGCTGCCATCGTTTAAAACTATCGTATTCGCATAATAATCCATTGCATTTTTTATCATATTACCTCGAGTATCATTTTTATATGAATTCCATGTGTGGCTGTGTGCATTGAAGTCGCCAAGTACTATTTTAGGTGATGGTATTTGTTGAAGTAATGATTCAACTTCATTACTTTCGAGGTGATAATTTGGGGGTATGTATATGGAACATAATATGTTGATTGGTTCCGTTGATTCAACGGTAATTGCTATAGCTTCTAAGTTTGTAGTTAAAACTATTGGTTTGGTAGGTATTTCAGACCGTATGTATATTGCCACTCCTCCACTGGCTGTAGGTGTATCACGGTTCTTAAAAAATCCTTTGCAGCCTTTTGGTCTGTGTGTTTTTGTTTGATGGAAGTGTGTCTCTTGTAAGCAGATGATGTCTGGTGTGTGATCGGCAATTATTTTGCGCAGCATATTTAAATGGATATAATATCCATTTAAATTCCATTGTATTATAGATTTGAATTTTATATTAAAAGGTAGAGTCTACGGACGAGGTGTCGCTGAGAAGATCACTAGAATTATTTTCGAGGTGTTTCTCCATCTTCTTTCTTAATCTTGTGCAACGGTTTTTTAGTGCTTTGTCTGTGATATGTGGATAAATCAGCAGAAGCATTTCTATTATTCCTTTGAAGTCGGATGAGTGATCATTGACAATATTAAATATGTCTTTTGCACCATGCGAATTTTCCAGTAGACTTTTCAATTGGACGGAGTTCAATACAAGTGGTGGCGTTTGGTTGTCAATGAATAATTTAACTGATTCGAAAGCACTTTCTGTTATGTGCTGTGGTTGGTCGTCTGTTTTAGGTTTCTTTGTACTTATGTTTTTTGGTGTAGCAAATGTAGGATACCCAGTATTTGGAGGTGTAGGTTCAAGTTCAGTTGTCGGCGATAATATTTCTGAAAGGCTACGTTTGTTACTTGTTTGTGTGTTTGAGCTTGTGTTGATTTTATTAGATTCTGTCTCGATCTGGTTTGGGCTGTCTTCGGATGTCGAGGCTCTTGTTATAGGTGTAGAGAAGCTGGTGACATTAGGTTGTGGGTCTGGTGTAGCTGCTGTTGATTGCTGGCTGTGGTTAAGGTTTGTTTGCTGGGATACAGGTGTGTCTGATTGTGTGGATGGGCACTGAGATGCGATATGTCCTGTGAGTTTACATTTAGAGCATTTTTGACTATCTAATGATAGAAATATGCGATAAGTCAAGTCTTCGTGGGTGACTTCTAAGGACTCTGGGATGAGGTTGTGCTTATCAGGTGTTATATACGCCTGACGTCTAAAACTCAAGACATGGCTGTATTCTGGTAATGCTGCCCCGATCTTGAGAAAGGTGATGGGTGAGATGAGTTTAACTCCAATTTGCTCAAGTCGATCCTTTAGAACTTTATGTGGAATGGTAGGACATACGTTAGACATCACTAATCTGTCAGAGGGAGTAATAAGTCTGCGAGCTTTTATTGGTTCTCCATTAATGATGATCTCACCAGGAAATGGTCTACAATTTGTTTACTTGATAGGTAAATACATATTCTGTTATTTGATATTCTAGAGCAGAATAAGATGTTTTTTGGGTTCACTATCGGGCCCAGTTTCAATAAGTAGTCTTGTAAAGGGTGTCCCAAAATTAACGCAAGATTTGAATTAAATAGAAAATGCCATTTTTAGTCTTTTAATAGTTTTGACTCATAAAGTACATAGGATAGGGTTATGTATGGAATAACACATCGGACAAATGGCCTCCACGGCTTTGCATGCACATGCGCACTCTTTTGTCGAAATTTTCCATGACCCTTCTGCATAAATGTGGCTGAATTTCGTTGATGCAGCGTTGAATCTCCTCCTTTAATGCACGGGTGGTTGTGGGCTTGTTGACATAGACTTGTGATTTCAAATAACCCCATAAAAAGAAGTCTAATGGTGTTAAATCACACGATCTAGGAGGCCAATTTTGATCACCGAAACGAGAGAGTACACGACCGGGAAATGTCTCATGCAGTAATTGAATTGTTTCACGGGCTGTATGACATGTCGTCGTCCGTACCGCAAACAGGCGTAACTGATTTTATATAAATTTTCAGTAGAAGCAAAATGAATATCGACAGTTATTTGATTTCATATATCTTTACTACTTTAGACAATATGAGCATAATTTCTTCCAATAACATAGCTAAAAAGTCTGTTCATCATCTTTTGAGAAGTATATAGAGGAAAGGAAATTCATATTCTCAGCTAAACATGTTTTTTATTTTTTTTCCAGATACGCCTCTTTGCGGTAACCTTGACAATTACAATAGTCTAGCGGTTTGAAGATACGCTTTTCACTCCATATGGAATAAAATTAGATTAAATAAAAAAACACTTTATTCTCAGATGTAAATAATACTCAAGCAACTCAAGGATAATACAGAACAAAAATAAGAAGATGATTTCAAACAAAAACATTTATGGCTGGTCCTCATGAGGTAGTGAATCATAAAAACGTTGATGTTCTGGTAGAGTGATGGCAGGCCTATCGCCTTGGCAAAGTGAGGTCAAATCATTATATTTTTTATTTGTGTTTTATCAAAGGTCGCTATTCAGAGACATCTCTTTTTTTAAAATATCGGAAACATTTCTTTTCAAGGTTATGGACCTGTAGTCTGTTTGCTTATGGCTAGTCTTGAAATCGATTTTGTTGCAATTATCACTTGTCACTTTGAATTCCATCATATTTTCCCAATTCACATCCATGTCTTTATCATCTTTTCGAATAGATAATACTCTTAAGTCTGATGCGAGTTGTTTGAGGTCAAAAAAATTACGATAGTCTAAGGGACGAACCTTATATGGCTGTTTCTTCCTTGCTAATGCATAGACTGGCAATAACTGGCTCGGCACAATAATTTCACCTGCATTTTTCAAAGCGTAACTATTGCACTATGTGCTGAATCGCCTTCATTTTGTCCATGACAAAAGGCAAAAAATTTTAACGATATCTCTTTAACGTTTGAGCAATTACTGACGAGATATAAAAGAGTGGTAGCCATTATCGAATTCTTATTTTGGCCACTACAACCATCAGCAAATAAGTCAACAGTATTGTAGCCTTGTTTGTCTTTTTCGGAAATAAATAAATAAACAGCAGTCGATATTTCCGAGCTACCGCGTTTACTTTCAGTCTCACTACATGTATAACAAAAACATTCTCGAGATGCTACTTCATACATAGTTAGATTGTAGACAGCAAGCCGCGTTTTATAAAATACGGAACAATGATTAGAAATTGGTAAGTATATAACTTGTTGGAGATCAAATTAATGTAGCACCTTTGTATCATTTTTAGCTTTTTCTTTGCAGCTATTCTTTATTTCTCTTACCGTTTCCTTTTCTAAAATGTGGGCCAAGTACTCCTTTTCCAAATTAGCCTTTACTTCTTCCGATCCTTCTCTGTAACACTTGCAAAGACCACATTGATCTTTTTTTGGTTTGTGAAATGAGAGGTTCATGAATCTGAAAATTTTTCTATACAAAGAAAAACTTCCCTTTGTTTGTTGGTCTTCCAGTTTGCACATGTGATACATTGTACTCAGAGATAAATCTTCATGTAGGTATTGTTTAGTTGAGGACTTCCGGCAGTAATGTGACTCTACTCTGGGGAACCTATTTATGTGCTCTATAATACTTTTTCTAATGAGTATGTCTCTTGATGATTGTAACTCCCGTCGATCTCCACGATTTTCTTTTTCTAGCACACTCGTTGTTCTATTCAATTTCTTTATTGCGGTTCTGCAAACTTTCTCACTTATCCCAAGGGTGCCAAGGAACATTTTTTTACAAACTAATTGTCGGATACCTTCTAGAGGTAAGAAAAAATAATGTGTTTGCTTACGGCGTGGATCATTGCTATTTGTAGTTCTATGTTTTGGGTTTTGAGATAATACAAAACGTGCTATATACTCTCTTTGTTGTTGGAGGTCACCAAGACTATAAAACTGTGAGAATATCATTGTTCTTAAAGGACTGCTGAACAAATAACACATCCTTTTTCTTTTCTTACACATTTCTATATTGCAGATTCCCTTAAGTGCTTTCTCCTTCACAATTTTCTTAGTTACAGGCGAAATATATGTTTCGCCTTGATTCCTCAACGTTTTTGCAGTTCTTCTTTTATCTTCTCTGACTTTTTTTTCCTATCACCTTCTGCCTGGGAACCTTCTACAAAAAAATTGTCAGGGCGCCTCTCTTCCTGTTTCTCTTTGCTAAGTACACTGCTCTGTACTGTCCTGTGTCCGTCCTGGCAGGATAGGGTATCATCTTCAAAATGCTTCCAACATAGCAAAATTGAGCATTGAAAGCACGAACTGAACACATCTCCTTTACAGCTTTTAACTTCACAAGTTTGATGATAGTCCGGATCTTCCGGATTATAAATCTCGACTGCAGCAAAGGGATCGCTTTCAGATGAGGTGTGACTCAATTCGGACAAAACATCATATGTATTCTGTAAGTCAAAGGGACATATCTTAGTTACCACTGAGAGAGTAGCAAAAAATGGACACCGCATGTAGGCGTATCTTCATTTACGCCTATTTGCGGTGTATTGTATTTCATTTCTGAGAGATACGACGTTTAGTTTTATGCTGATATCTCTATGAGCGAACTACTTAGAGTTATGCCACTTTGCGGGATTGAAGGTATGCTATACCTTGTTGATTTGAATCCGTTAACTCGAATTTGATTTTTTGTCAGATACGCCTGTCTGCGGTATGGACGACGATGTGGCACCGTCTTGTTGAAACCACATATTGGGTACATCAATATCATTCAATTTTGGCAGAAAGAACTGTGTAATCATGTCGCGATATCGAGCACCAGTAACAGTCACTGCTTGACCAGCATCATTTTCAAAAAAATATGGCCCAATTATGCCTCCAGCCCAAAATCCACACCAGACAGTCACGCGTTGTGGGTGCATTTCTTTTTCGACAATCACACGTGGGTTCTCCGAACCCCAAATGCGGCAATTTTGGCGATTGACAAAGCCATCAAGATGAAAATGTGCTTCATCGCTTAGGATGATTTTGCTTGAAAAATCAGGGTCCATTTGTTGATGTTCAATAATCCATTCAACAAACTCTCTTCTCTCTGCATGGTCATTAAGCTTCAATTGTTGTGTTAATTGAAGTTTGTAAGCATGAAGACACAGATCTTTGGTGAGTATACGCTGTAGAGAGGTTCTTGACATTTGCAATTCTTGTCCACGACGTCGAATTGAGGTTCCTGGATTGTCCGCAACACTCTCACGCACTGCTTCGATATTCACATTTGAACGGTTTGTTTTTGGACGACCAGTGTGTTTGGCGTCTCCAACGGATCCAGTCTCCATGAATTTTTCAATTAATCTCTTCACAGTTGACGAAGTTAAAACACTATTCCGGCCATATTTTGTATGAAATTTTCGAACTGCAGCCGCCAAGCTTTCGCTATTTTTGAAATATTCTTTAATAATGAAGACACGTTGTTCTATCGTGTAACGCTCCATTTTTCATAACCCTATACTGTTAGCTGTCAAATTGCTTTTTTTCAGGGTTGCCAACACTTCACTGCACAAATGGCGGCAAATTCAAATCTTGCGTTAATTTTGGGACACCCTTTATTTTTAATCCATCAATAGCATTGAAAATGATGGCTTGCTCTTTATTTGGATATTTTACTGAGTTTTTATTTAAAATTTGAGAGTATGATTGAACTGAAGTATTGTTTTCTGGTGTAGTTGGGTGGTCCATATCGGATCTATCAGTTGAAGTCATCTGGTGGAATGAGTTGCTGTTGCTGCAAAATATTACTGACAACGTATGTTGATACTGGTATTTATAGGTGTATCGATGATGCACTTGTGTTAAAACAATTTGAATTTCACTACTTATGAATGATTTAAGTCAGAGCTCGGTTCACTGGCTGCTAACAGTAAAACGATCAGGAACGGACGTACACATATATTGGTATGTCTGTTCCCAAAATTGTTTAGAAAAAGTGTTATTAGATATCAATTAAAAGCAATCCTAGAGCTCCACTGTATCCGGGGATCCAAAACAGCATGAAGCAGCCCATTGGCATAGTGTTAGACGCTAGCTACGTGTGTAGAAATCAGTCTTGGTTATAGATGTTGTGATTGTCGTAGGTGGTAGACGGTCTCTGACTGTCGAACGCGGAGGTGCGTGTACACGTGTTCCCTCGCTAGAGACCGTGTGGCGTCCCCCCTATAACCCCACGATACCCAATGGGTGTTAGGTCTTCGTGGTGTTTCAAGTATAAAAAAAAATCTTGACAGTCATCGAGCGGTCGCACTACTCATGACGTGTAATCTGTAGCCTGATTTAATAATAGTTTTACTAACATGTATATTATTATTTTATCTAACAGATGCGTAATATTACCGGGATCAGAAACTTCCTGATACTAGAACGTCTTTCACTGCAACCCCTACACCCAGTTATCAACACTCTAGTAAAGAAAATTCAAAAAATTTGCAGGAGTTTTTATAACACCAGATATGAAGGTTGAGCATTTTGATTTTTTCATTTTTTGCCTGTAGCTCCGCCGTCATTGGATCGATTTCCAAACATTGCAGAGCTTTTAATTTCATCAAACACCGTGCGATACTTTCTAAGTTATAGAAGGGCCAACTCCTAACCGGAAGGCAGACAGATAGTACTACAGAAATGAGTGACATGGTTTTTCGTGATATATGTATATGTAATGTAACACCGAAAAAGGATATCTCTCTCTCGAAATTAGCGATTGCAATACTACCACACAAATTGGCGTGGGAAGTGAAATAAGGAGGCTCACATTCCATTTTTCTCCTTCCAAATGTGTTTGAATGGAATATCCCGTTCTAATTTATTAATATTGCATTTATTTCCAACATCAACAGACGAATGAGAACCAATATGTTTCTTTCAAAATGTAATCTAAACGCTATGGATGACAAAATTCAGTTGAATGCATTCGAGGTGACAAATATTTATGAAAAATTATCTCAATTACATACTTAAATTGCATATTGTCATTATCATATCTCAAGGGGATTTTTTTAAATGATATATTTGATATGCTTTCTAGAATAAGCTTTATATATTATCTGTATATTCATTAATAAACATCATATACATAAGGGCCATCATGCATTGCTTGCAGTAAAATGGAGCTTTGCATTTTGTAATAACTGATCAAAATAGGAAACGACTCATACAAGCGCTGCAGAGCGAAAAATTTGAGAGTAATAAATTCAAGCTATAGGAAATATCAATAATAACTAGGTGGACTAGTTACTTTCTAGCTACTTGACAAAATAGAAACAAGCCAGATGACTTTTTGGCTATAATGTAGATATATCATTATAGTTCATATTTATTATCATATGTGGAGCAATCGAAGTTCTCTTGTCTTAAAGGTAAAGATCAGGTTTAGTCTCATAACTGTCACTCCTACACTTGGAAACCTTGAGATTTTTCAGCTAAAAATTGTTTCTTACATTGATATTCCACGTGTTTTGAATACCATTTGACACTACTGAATCTAACTACATAGTTGATTAACATCAACGAATTCGAATAGACTAGAACGAGCCAAGTATCCATGTTTGCTTTGTTTGTCGCCGAAATTGTGTGGTTCTAGTGTATAATATTGGTTAATTTACTTACTATACCCGACCAAAGGGACAAGCTAATACATAGGCGTACATTCTTTTCTCTACAATGGATATTCAAGTAGCCAGTTATACTGGGCATATTCACGTACAGCAGGGCAGAAATACTATCTGTATTGTGATGTGAATCGCTCAGTTATTGTTGATAAACAGGGATAAATTAAATAATGCAATGAAATGAAAGTAAATGTTTGTCAATGGTACAGCACATGAACAAGTATGCTTAATTAGTAATTTAGAATTGTGAACAATACGAAATATTCTCTCTCTATTCTTCTTTACGGAATACCTGATATCGGAAATAGTGGGACACCTTGCATGAATTTTACTGTTTTTCTGAATAGTTGTCGTGATTCAAGCAGATTCTCGGGTCAAAGCAAATTCCTAGTTGAGTATAATATGGAAATACCTGCTATTATATCATTGCCATTGTATTCATCCAATTAAAATTATTTGTAAGTATTTTAGTTAATTTGATATTCATACTTTTTATTGGGCGGACTGAGTTTCCGCCTCAAAATCTCGTGGTACTAAAATGACATACTAAAACTACTACTCATAACGCGAAATTACATTTCCTAAGATCTTTTAGATTCTTAATTAAAGTAGATCAAGTTTGATTTTAGTTTAGTTAGATTAAAGTTTCGGTTCTCCTTTTTCAATATCGATAAAAAAATTCAACGTTGTTGTTAGGTCTACAAGTCTATTAACAAATTTTAGATTAGGAATAAGTGCTAATTGCAACAGGAAATGAAATAAAATGAATCAAAATTACCCCACAACTCTCCAGGTAAAAGCATAATGTTGAGGAATATGCCCTTTCGCAACGCTGATGACTATATGTAACACTTATAGATGAAAAAATTGTTCAGTTTAAACTGGCAATCGATAGAATCTTTCACATTTTCAGCAACTGTCTAGGATTGTATGGATCCCACGCACTTTTATATGTTATCGCAGAAAATTACGAATAAATATTGTGAAATGTCAACAGCTGTCACACTGGCGGCTTAAACCTGATCCACTAGTAGTGTGAACTTGCATCCTGATTACAGACTACATCATTTTGGCGACAAACAAATCGTTTACTTGCTCTTTCGACCTAATCCGAATTCGTTGGTTAACACGGTTTTGATCATTTACAGCAACCTGTTTAATCTTTAGCGTAATATATTACTTCAAAATGATTCTCATGTTGTTCGGAATCGCCATAGTAGTAGGCTTTTACTACTATTGTGTAAAGCCTCTCAGCTACTGGAAGGAAAAAGGTGTTTTGCAAACAGAGCCCATGTGGTTTTTTGGAGACAGTTGGAGGAGCTTTGACAAACAACGGGTTATTAATTTTCTGGAATATCTGTACCATGGTCCTGGCGATGGAAGGTAACTTTAATCGATTAAGATCCTGACACTCCAGTATTACTCACTAAAGATCTACAATTAACTCATAAGCTAAATTTTGTCATCTTTACGTTAAAACTAAATTTTGATGGTTGCTACATCTAGATGCATGAAATTATAGTTATACATTCTCATCAATAATGCTATACACTATATACAACTATCCTTTATTTTTATAGGTATGTAGGACATTACAATTTCACTTACCCAGTCCTAAACATCAAAGACCCAGAGCTATTAAAGCGAGTTTTTGTTAAAGACTTCGACCACTTCGTAGATCACTACGTATTTCAAGCTACCGATTCAGATCCACTTTGGTCAAATATATTGATAACACTAAAAGGTGAGTAGCAGAATGCTAGGTTTATTGATATTCGATATTTGAAAGAGCCGCATCCAGCAGGTCGGCTTCGTACCTCAAACTCAATATCTTTGCATCTGCCGGAAAATCATTCTGATTCGTTTTTTTTATATAATCTTATTCAAAAAGGCGTATTTTAACGAATTTTCAAGTTGCCAGATTCAAAATTGCAACATAAATTGTTTAACTTTTTTTTAAGAAATTCCAAGGATAATATGTTTGCTCCAGTCAGTGTTGTTATATTTTTTAGGACGCTCTGAACAAAAAATGCTAATATAACAATGTTAATATATTAGTTTCTTATAATGTTTTTCGGAACTTTGCACTTTCTGAAATATTAAATCCATTATATTTTGAAAATACCCTTATTTAGCTAAAGAAAAAATTGTTACACCAATTTTTGGCTTAATTTTGCACCTGACAACAGGTTTGTTAAAAAGGGTTTCGAATGAGATTATGCAAAAAACAGAATCAAAATACTTTTTTGGAGCAATTGCTTGTGAAATATAAGGTTAACATTTTAAAAAAGTACGTTTATGGGTCATAAAATTCAGAAAAAGATGTAGGTTTAAAATCTGCCATATTAACATATTGACGATTTCAGTTGCACGCTAAATATTTTATATTTTTCACAGAACGCTGAATGAAGTGTTATCTATTTCTAGTTTGCAGAAAACAAGACTTCACAGGGTGCTATCAAGACAATTTTTCATTCTTTCCAGTACGCTCTTTTCAAAGAAATCCAGAAGTTGAACAAAAATAGTACAGATTTCAACTCACCACAATTCTTGTGCAAAAACAAAATTTTGAAAAGTGCTCTAATAGCACCGTGTACAATTGTCTTGTCAACACATTGCATAAATTTCTTTCAAAAACATTGAAAAATGGAGCGTTAGTTACGAAGTAGCTGACACACTACGTCGGAGTCGCCTTAAAGTAGAAATATTTGATGAAATAAAAGCGGTACAAATCAACCCCTCTTAGAGAAAAACTACGCACATTAATGGAAGGAAAAAAGTAGATCAGGTTTACTCAAAAGGCACAAGTGAAACTGAAACTTTACCAGGTATATTTATCTGAGTTAGACGTATCGTGAAATAACAAAATATATCCATCATATGTCTGCCTCGAAGGCAAATTTGTGTAAACCAGTGCACACTTAACTAACAATATTAAGTATTTTACCAAATTCAGAATTAAAACGTAAAAAAGGTTTGAGTGATTTGTGCCTATATGGTCTACGCTACTGCGATCGCTTGGATGTCGCTCAATTCCGGATCCGTGATGACCCTGAGCACATTTATAAATTTCAACTATAGTTAATCAAGGAGTAAGGGTCTAGTTTATCGGAGCCTAATAAAAAGCGATGGAAGAAGCTAAATACAATACAAAAAAGATGACGGGGCATTATTCACGTTATTATACAATATTATTAGAAGCTAATCTATGCCAAGCTAGATTTGAGAAAGCTGTCAGGTTAATGTATTTAGATGTATGTGATTAGTTGGTTATGTACTATTGCGTTCCATACAAAATTTTGATTATTGATTATGTGATTTTATCTTATAGGGTGAGTGGAAGAGCAAGCACCCTGTGGTGAACTCCCGTTTTTTTGGGCATCTCTTTTATCCTAGCATTTATTCTGTTATATCGTATTTGTAACCCTGGATGATCAAAATAAAGTATAACAAATAATATCTACCTGAATTGGTTAGAGATGTGTGATTACTGCGATTACGGTCAAAAAACAATAGCATAGACATGAAGGGACATTTGAATAGAATAAAATTATATCATTTATTCAGATTTTACACCATCTCTTTCCAGGAAGTAAGTGGCGTGAGATGAGATCCATCTTAAGCCCATGTTTCACATCCAGCAAAATGAGAGCCATGTCTCCACTGATGACGGGTTGCGCAGAACGGTTTACCAATTACTTCTTGAATTTGAATGAGGAAGTTGTATCAGTAGAAGTGAAAGAGGCTTTTACAAGGTACGCGACTGATGTCATCGGATCCACAGCATTTGGAGTAGAGGTAGATTCATTGAAGCAGCCAGAGAACACTTTCTATGTTATGGGAAAAAGAGCCACTACCTTTGACTTCTGGAAGATGGTTCGGTTTTTTATCAGCGTACTAGCTCCAAAGTTGAATGCGGTAAGTTGCATTTCTCTACATTCATCTGCTGTTTACTTCCTATGCCACTAGGCGAGGAAGAATTGTAATCGCAAAAAAAAAACAAAAATGCGGTATTATGTTGTTTTTGTGCTATTTGACATGTACATCACGAAAAACCAGGTCACTCATTTCCGTCGGTCTGTCTGTCGGTCTGTCCGCTAATCTTATAATCACTTATACTGTAAGCTGAAAAGTAACAATGTTATTACTATGCAAAGGCTGCAAAATCCTGGTTTTTGGAAATCGGTCCAGTGGCGACGGAAAAGAGGCAAAAAGGGAGAAAATAAAAATTGCCGTTTTAAAGGGTCCTGATCATTTTTAGAAAAAAATTGTACGGGGGGTATATGAACCTTGCACATAAGAACAGATAACTAGCTGCAGCACATGCCGCGCAGGTGTGGACAGGAGCAACGTTGCCACATGGCCGATAACTACCAGTAGGGCAAGGAAATAATGTTTATGAACTAATTGTAGGGGCCTGTTTGACTAAGTTAGCACGTTTGATTTCTCTGTTGTGCATGTCCGTAACTCAGAGAACTCAAATTGCGCCGAATTTAATCCTGATGACGGCGTTGCGTAGAAAGTTCAGAGTCAACCCACTAGACGCTATTTTTTTCAGTATGGGAAGATGAGATGCTAACTTGGCGATCAATTCGCCATTACATGTAGCTTTCAAAAATTTGATTGATGCCTCTGATAATTGTGATATACTGTCTGATTTTTTAAGTAGTATTCCATCCTCTCTTATTCCCGTATTGTGCTGAGTTGTAATTTTGGGTATACTTCTATATCACTTGTTTATATTTTTTCTTTTGTTTTTAATGCTTACTCATTGTAAACTGTAGCAATTTTTTATCAGGTTATTCACTTGTTTTAGTTATACAGGGTGTCCCATCCATGTGTGGATGGAATATTACTCATAAACACATACATTTTGGCAAAATATATTCATGGGATGTTATACATGTCATTTGAGGGCACATTTCTAAAATATTGGCCATCATACATGGTGTCCCAATTTCGACCTTCATACCAAAGTTGTGATTTTTCAAATGGAATGTCTCAAATTTTATTACATATTTGGATAAATTAATTCAAAAGAAGAAAATTTATATAACATACGATTGGGTTTTGGTAATTAGCTACTGAGATATTAGGTGTTTTGTCTAGAAAAACCGCCCACTTTAACAACCCCTCAGTCCGCCATTTTGAAATTTGGAGTGCTGAATTTTGTACCAAAAAAACTTACACACCTCAGCTTTTATCCTATTTGTTACTTTTTCGAATTTTAATATTTACTTATAAAGGGTGGTCAAAAACGCTTTTCTCAAAAATTTCAAATGCATCACCCTGTATATTTGTGCAAGTTTGGATTCAATTTTTTATGTTTTTTTTTTTTGATACTAGACACATAAAGGTTTTTACAGCTATTTTTTTCTGTTATTAGCACGTCTTTTATGGAACGGCTTAATTCCATAAAATATCGCATCATCCTTGGAAACAAATAAATTTTTGATTAGTTACAAACTGTCAAAATTAGCTTTGTGAACATTATAATAAAAACGTGTTTGAAAATGAATTTTTCTGAAGAAGAAACGGTACCCTAATATGCGACATCTAAGGCCGGAAACATTTTCCACACTACCAGAACGTTTTGATTCAAGTGGAGCAGTGGAATATAGTAAAAAATGTATAAATAATTCAATTGTCACCAATGAGGCGAATCAGTTGTAGGTTCTATTAAAGTTGCAGAAAAATCCCCATTTAAGTGCACGGCAAATTGGAGCAGAAACTGATATATGCAGAACTTTTTTGATCGAGCATATGCCTTTGTTTTTTGAGGATTTCAACCTGCGAACTCGGATGCATATGTACTTCCAACATGACGGCGCACCTGCGCATTATCATAATCGTGTGCGTAACTATTTGGACACATGGAGTAACAAGTGTTGGATCGGTCGTGATGTGCCTATATCTTGGTCTCCTAGATCACCTGATATGACACCGATGGACTTCTTTCTATGGAGCTACGTTAAGCAAGAGGCTTATAGATATCCACCATCTACCCCGGAAAATATGAAGGACAGGATTAAGGATGCTTTTCTGCACATCAGGGAACACATGCTGAGGGATGTGCAACAGTCATTTATCCAAAGATTACGGCTGCGTATTCAACATGATGGAGATATTTTCGAGCAGTTTTTGTAGATTAGGTCTTGAGTAGTAGTTGTTTATGTTGTTGTTATAGTTGTTTTTCTCTATTACGCTTGAAGCTGATTTATACTGTTCTAATTGTTATTAGTTTTTACGTCAAATCTGTACTCTTAGTGGCAATATGGAACTAGCCCACTGTTTGTATTTTGTTTCCATGGATGATGTGATTTTTTTCCCTTAATTTTGGTCTGTTGTTCTATTAAAAGCTCAATAACTCAAAATTTACTGATTTCATCTGAATCAAACTTTATACAAATCTTCTTCTTTTGAATTGGCTTATAGAAATATGCAATACAATGTGAGGCATTATTTTTAACAAATTACAACTTTGATATGTAGGTCAAAATTGGGACACCCTGTATAATTGCCAATATTCTAGAAATGTGCTCTCAAATGTCATGTATAATATGCCATAAATAGATTCTCCCAAAATGTATTTGTTCATGAGTAATATTCCTTCCACGCATGGATGGGCCACCCTGTATATTCGATATATTTTTTATTGCTTAAATTGTCCTGTAATTTGGAGTCTGTTCTGTTGAGCAACATATACCTTATCTGCTAGATTATCCTAGATCAGAGCTTCTCATATAGTAATTGTGGTTTTTTTTTTGTCTTCCGATTTGCTTTCCGAAACAGTAACCCCACTACTAATACCTTGGTTATCTATTGGAAATCTCAAATGATATTGTTTTTATTCTATACGTCTAACTTGGGATGTTACAATGAATTTATGGATTGAGTGTCTACAAATACCTAAGAATCACATACAATAAACCTATTATAACCGGTCAAACTTTTGCTTGGAACATAATTCTAGCTTCTTGGCCTTATGATTATGGATAAAGAGACTCTGGACTTCTTTGTGGACCTCGTGGATCAAACGATAAAAACTAGAGAAGAAAAAGGTATAATCCGACCTGATATGATACACTTGCTGATGGAAGCTAGGAAAGGAAGACTGAAAAATGAGGAAAGCAGAGAGAACGATTCTTCAGATCGTATAGTCAGTGGTATGTATTATAAATTCGGTAGCACTCAGCAGCTTAGTCGTAGCGCGTACTAGATTATGGTCAATGGACATAACCTGCTAAAACATACTCCAGGCCGCGCTAAGAGCCATCTGCTGAGTGCTAATGAACGCAGGTGTTTAGTGATATAAAACTTACCTGTTCATGCTTGTTGTCCTTATCTTGATTTATAAATTGGTATATGCTTATAACAATCTGAATACAAAGTTATCCTTATTCAATGGCATCAAGTCATCGTTGGTAGTCAGAGCGGTCCGTGGGACCTTAGCTCTTGAGTCACAGTGTCAGTTTGTAAGTCTGTCAGGTCTGGTAACCCAGGAACCAGACAATTTTAAGGAAAAAAGGGGAAGGAAAGGAGAGAAGGAAGAACGAGAGCAAAGGGGAAGAAGAGAATCTTTTAGGATAGGCAGCGTTTAGGCATTGTTAAAATCGCTTCACAGATTTTGATATGGTCTAAAAATATTTGATTTTTTCTAAAGATTGTGTAAAAATGCTCCAATTTTGGTTGTTCTAAGTTCACGAGTTAATTTTGATTACAGTGCGAGCCGCGGCCTTTTGTGCTTGCGAACTTGCTCGACTGTGTAGTCCACTGATTCACGCAACAGAGGGTTGCTGTGCGATTCCGCTAGGCTATAGCGCCGCTGCGCCTGTTGCTTAATGTAGTCCTTTAGGTAAGGGACATCGAGGTCTCTATGTAGAGTTTCGTTAGAGACATACCATGGGGCATCAGCAATAGTGCGCAACGTCCTGCTTTGCAGAACCTGCAGACTTCGCATGTGTGTTTTAGCAATAAAACACCAAGCCGCACATGAGTAAGTCATTGCTGGTCTTATGACCACCTTATAGAGTCGAATCTTGTTAATCAAACTTAATTTTGACCGTTTACATAATAATGGGTAAAGCTGCCGAAACGTAATTTGGAATTTAGTTTTTAGCGCTTCCATATGGTTCCGCCAAGTCATCCCTTTGTCCAGAATGACACCGAGATACTTAGCGGAGGACTGCCATGGTATACAATTCAATGGCATGGACATGAAAGCTTATGACCACCGTTACCAAGATCGCCACCAACTCAATAATTGAAAGCATCCTTTTTCAATAACAAAGGGGCCATCTACCATGTGTCCAATAAAGTGAGATGAACTGATCCACTAAGTCCGTGACCTTACATACTAGTTGTATTGTAAGGAAGAAAAAAATGTATTGCAGATGACAGCAGTATTGTACTACTCACGTTGTAGAGTGAAACCTTTGGATGTCACTCATTTTCGTAGGTCTGCCTGTCTTTCAGTCCCTGATACTTGGCTTGGAAAGTACTGCTCGGATCTTGATAAAATTGACACAAGATCACTACTATTCCAAAGACGAAAAAGCTTTGTATGTCTTGAAACTCCATCCACTGGTGGCGGAGCTGCGTCCACAAAAGTCAAAACTGATCAATTTTTCGTTCTTAACCTTTGTTCTTTGACGTTTCAAATACTCCTGATCACTTTCAGCAAATTTTTATAAGTGTTGAAATTTGGAGGTTTTAGGCAATGGAAGGTTGTGAATTTTGCATCTTTGGTATCAGTGAAAGACGTTTTATTTTATTTAGACGTGTCTGATCCCGGTAATACTATGGACATATTAGACAAAGTGAAATGCTGTAAAAGTTCAAATCATGCCTGTTGAATACTATGTTTACCGCTACATGTCTCGAGTTTCGATCCCTGCGAGACAGCCCAACGACAACAGTAAATTGACTCGCCTTTGCTTTTTAAATCATGAGTTTGAACACATCTTTTGCATCACAGGATAATATCACTGGTATGGTATCAGCGAAATTCGGTGTAAACAAACATACTCTTATGCTATAATCATAATATGTGTAGTGCAGGTAGTACCTTCGTATATGCTAAAACTACTCTGATTCGGACTTTCTTACATAATCTTATTCAAAAAGAACCACTTTTAACGAATCTGCATGATAAAATGCCATAATTACGTTTAAAATTGTTTGAACAAGTTCCAAAAATTATGTTGCCCTTCAGTCAAAGTGTTTTTAGGTTTCTTGGGCCATCCTGAAAAAAGACCCTAGAAACTTCTTTCCAAAGTTGATAGTTTTCGAGATATAAAGAGATTTATTATTCGAAGAAGTCCAAAATATTCCACTTTTATAGCCAAAAAATATATGAAAAAACAAAAACTTCAATGTTGCCACAGTTCTTAAAATAATACCCTTCACGCATCCATTAACACAACCTCAATGAATTTCAGGGGGCACAGTATTTGTTTTTACTGCCTACGCAACACCCTTCAACGGGGGACCCCAAACATCCGGGTGGCCCCTCACCAGGGGACCCCGAACAACCGGACTGCCCCTCACCAGGGGAGCCCGATCGCACTCGGACAGAGGAATCTGTCAGAAAGCGAGCTCTCTAGCTCGCGGAAAGGGCTCTCTAAAAATCAAAAAGAAATCTTGGACAGGTTCCGAAAAAGGGCTCGGAAGCAGAGTGAAGCGCCGATAACTGGAGGCACAGAAAGCCAGCGCGCCAACTTCTGGGGCTCCAGCTGTTCGGGCCTAACCGCCAACTGGGCAGGACGTTGCGCAATCCGGTGTGTCAGCGGAAGCCCCAAAGCGGCCTGCAGACGGGAAACGGCCGGTGAGACACCGCATCTGCGTACGTCCCAAGCGGGTCTCAGCGTGGCTATCGTGTTCGATGGTTATCCTGGGACTCATTTCACAGAGGCACAGGTGCAGAAGGCGGTCGGTGTGCTGATACATGGGCTTCCAGATGAGGGGGCCCTACCTTGGTACATTGACAGCTACGTCTGTCGACGGGCAGCCATCTTTGTCTGCGAGGACGAGTCCTCTAGGGCATGCTTGGAGGCCCACGTGGGGGATATGCGGCAGTGGGAAGATGCAAGGCTCATTCCGATGAGCTTTGGCGACTTTCCTGTTTACCACCGCGTGATGGACTGAGAATCTGGGAAATGAGGTCATCACGAGGAGACTCAGGAGGCACAATCCTAGCGCGTGGAGACTACTGGAGAGGAAGAAGGAACCCGAAGAGGTCAGACTTGTTCTCTCAGTGGATTCCATAAGCTGGAAGGTCGTTGAGGGTGACGGCAACAGGCTGTGCTGCGGAGGAAGCTCGGGGGTGTTCACACTCCTGAGCAAGGAGAAAAAGCCAGACATCGGGGCGACACCTGCTGGAACAGGCCTGATTCCAAACCAGGGGTCGGACTAGCCCGGGCCGACAGGAGTTGTGGCGATAGACCAGGCTCCTCCACAGGAGATGGGGGAAGGGGCAGCTCCCGCTGGACCATCCGGAGACTGCGGACGAAGAGTCGGCGGATCCTAGCGAGAAATCCGCAGGAAACATCGTGGCGGGCCCGGCGATGGAACGTGCCCCAAAGGGAAATGACAAGGTCCTCCGTCTAAGGAACTGGATGACCTTGTTGCATTTTGTAGGGATTCTAGACTCGACCACGTGATTGGATGTGACAGCAGTGCTCACCACATTACGTAGGGCAGCTCGAACACCAACAGATGGGGCGAAGACCTCGGTGGTCATAGAACCTTGAGGTTCTGAATGTGGGTAACACGCCTACTTTCAGTAACATTGTCAGAAAAGAGGTTATCGACGTAACACTGGGTACGCTTAAGTTAGCTCAGGAGATTAGATGATGGAAAGTGTCTCTAACACCCTCTCTATCGGATCACAGGTACATACATACTGTCTAAACTGATGGGGAGATTCCAGATAAATATGCTCGGAATCCTGGGCATACTAACATAGGGGGTCCTCTAAGGCAGACCTTGACAGAAAGCTTGGAGGGGTAGCATACAGCCTGGGGCTCTGATGTAGAAGCAGCTGTAGAGTCTCTGAGCAGGGACTTGACGGCTTCTTACGAAGAAAACTGCCAGTTACGCAAAGTTCAACGTAAGGGCAAGGCAACCTTCTGGTCCAAGGAGTTAGAGGATAGGAAACGAGCTGTGCACAAACTTCTTGGCACAGTTAAGCATAGGAGAAGTTCTCCCCAATGGCAAGACTACAATAAGGCGTTGCAGGAATACAGACAGGAGATTAGAAGAGTCTCCAGAGAATCCAGGAGGAACTTCTGCCAGTCCATAAGGGTCCTACGCAAAGACGCTAAAGCTAGATTTGCATCTCTGTATGATCCCTTGGGAGGTAATACTACTTCCGAGGAAGGTACTCTGAGGCTTTTGATGGATACGCACTTTCCCGGTTCCACAACAGCGCGATCAATCATAGAATCCATGCAGTTGCGCAAACCCTCAGGGAGGACTGGCGCATGGCAAGGGAAATTGTCACCTTCGAAAGGATGGTATGGGCGATAGATTCGTTTGCTCCTTACAAAAGCCCAGGTCTGAACGGTGTATTTTCGGCCATGTTACAGCATGGGCGGGGTTTGGTTGTTCCTCACCTGTTGATGGTGTTTCGAGCATGTGTGGCCACGGGCTTGCACCTAGAAGCTGGCGGCAAGCTAAAGTGGTGTTTATTCCTAAACCGCTCAGAGCTAGATATACCGGCCGGAAGGATTTTCGACCGATTACCCTTTCATATTTTGTGCTCACGACATTGGAAAGGACAGTTGACAGATTCTTGATTGATTCCAATCAGTTTGCATACCAAGCCGGAAAATCGACTGATCTGGCCTTACACAATCTGGTGGGCAGGCTGGAGAAGACTCTGGATCATCTAGAAGTAGCACTCGGGGACTTTTTGTACATTGAAGGTGCATTTAATTGCACTCACTACAACGGACTCTATCAGACATGCCTTGGTTAGACATGGGGTTGAATCAATCCTAGTAGATTGGATCTTATCTACTCTGAAGGTTCGGGGCTGCAACAGCTATGCTGAATGACGTAAGCGGCAGCGTCAGCGTAGCTCGAGTTCTGTCACTCCTACTGTGGTGCCTCGTGGTGAACGAACTCCTCGTTAGGCTCAGCAGTGCGGGTGTCTACGTGCAAGCCTATGCTGACGACTTAAGCATAGTAGTTAGGGGTCGTTTTTGTAGAACAGTCTCTGAAATTATGCAGGCGCTCTGCGCTCTCTGGAATTGTGGTGTAGGAAAGTCGATCTTTCTGTCAACGCTGGAAAGACTGACCCTATCTTATTCACTAGGAGAAGAAGGCTTGTCTTGCCGACCTTCTTTGGGTTTGAATTAGTTCTAATCCCAATCAGTAAGATATCTAGGAATTATCCTTGATTGCAAACAGAATTGGAGAGAGCATGTGGAATACAAGGTTAACAAGGCTCGCAATTCAATGTGGGCCTGCAGACGTGTTGTCAATGTAAGGTGGAGGCTTAAACCTGAAGTGGTACACTGGCTCTACATGACGATAGTACGTCCATCTCTCTCCCTGGTGAGGTGGCCTTGCATTGGAACTAAGATAACTAAGTCAAAGCTCAATAAAATTCAGCGTTTGGCCTGTATTAGCATTACAAGCACGGTGCGAACAACGCCAGTGAGTGCAATGGGAGCTCTGCTGGATCTCCTACCGTTGGATCTAGTGATTCGCCGGCCTTCCTGAATCCTGTCAATGGTCATACTGCCATCTTAGTCGAACTGCGAAGGGAGGGCCCCTAAATATGGCTTCAACCGCAGGTTTAATGTGAAATATCGAACGAGGGAGGAGTTTGACGCCGGTAGCCAGAGGCTCTCCGGAGTGAGTGGGCAGGTCTGGTACCCGGACGGCTCGGCCACCGAAGAGGAGTCTCGGGGCCTAGAACTAGGCTATCTATGCCTCTTGGCCTGTAAGATTACTTCTAGCCTTGGACTGCAATGCAGAGAGGCTCTGGAATGTCTCGCAGCGAGGTATCCGGTATCGTTAATGTGGGTACCAGGGCTGGGATAAAGGGCAATGAGACGGCAGACGCTCTGGCGAAGACACGATCAACCAGCAAGCTCGTTGGTCCTGAGCCAGCTTTAGGAGTGCCCGCGCAAACAGTTAGGAGGGAAATAGAGAAGTGGATTGCAAGACAACATTCTCAAAAATGGAGAAGTATCCAGACATCTCCGTTGGGCACGGGACGTGATTGTTGGTCCTAACGCTAAGGATGGACGTTTCTGCTTATCTTTGAAAAGAGCCAACCTAAGGTTGCTGGTGGGACTGTTGTCTGGCCATAACGTTGAGGCGCCATCTGCACGTGATGGGGGTGGCTGAGTATCCCTTGTGTGAGCGCTGCGGGGTAGAGGAAGATACCTCGGTGTACGTTCTGTGTTGGTGTGAAGCTCTGAGCTACTACAGGCAGACTATACTGGGATCCATTTCTTTGGACCAGCAAGAGGTCAAGGACTCAAGGCCAAGCTCAACTTCGCTAGAGAGGCGAGGCTTGAGGTCTAAGGAATGTAGAGTTGATAAGGGCCCGTTTAAGCGGCCTATGAGCTGGCTCCTTATGATGGCCGGAATGCCTCTAATTTCATGATTCATTCATTATATCCTACGCAACTGGGCGAGGAAATATTGTAATCCCGAAAAATTTCGAAAATGAGATATTACGTTTTTTTGGATGATGTACGACATGTACATCACGAAAAAACATGTCACTCCTGTTCGTCGGTCTGTTTGTCTGTCTGTCCGCTAATCCTTGGACCCTCTATAACTTGAGAAGTACCGCTGGTGCTATGATGAAATTTTCACACAATGTCACTATACCAAGGACAAAAAAGCTTTGTAGTTTTTGAAAATCGGTCCAGTCCAGCGGCGGAGTTGGGGGCAATAAACGAAAAACATAAAATCGTTTTTTGATGTTTCAGAGGCTCCTACTTTACCTAACTTTTGAAGGTGTTGAAATTTGGGGGTTGGGTTTATACGGGGTGGGGGAGGGTCTATGAAGTTTTTTTGACCTTAGTAAATATTACGTTCCAAGCCCCGGTAAATTCAGTGCACCTATTAGCAATAAGATATATATATATATATATATATATATATATATATATATATATATATAAGAACATATCATAGGTTTTCTCGTACATTTGCGTTTAAAGCTTATAAAATGATAGAAAAATATTTTCGATCCGCGTACCCCTGCTGAAGATCTAAGCCCGGCGAACAGAACACATACATATACACGAACCACGCACGAAATCAACCGTGCCGCGCAGAAAGGAACAACGTTGTCAAATGGACAAAAACTACCGGTAGGGCAGTCAATGTCCATGGACTATTTGTATGTATGGGCCTCTTTGGTTGACTTAATCCGTCCAAATGTCTCTGTTGTACATTTTCGTAACTTAAAATTACGCTGAACTTAATGTGGGATGCTATGACCGTAGCATAAGTTATCAAAATACAGCGTGTTCAGAAAATTAAGGATAACCTGGCAACTACAAGTATGTCACGTCATGACCCACTATACGGTACTTGTTTCATTCGATATATATTAACCGTTTTTGGACCAGGATATTTTGAAACGCTCACACTTCGGTATGCCATCTCACCCAGTATCACATCCACCAAACCAACATAAAAAATATTCAGAAGTCTAAACTATTCAACACCATTGTCACGTTTAACTTTGACACCCTCTAGCATTAAAGAATCATCTATAATCGCCATACCCATTAGACCAAATTGGTTCGTTAATGACAATTTTTATACAGTACCATTCACATGCTCGAAGCGGATTTAATCTCGTGGAGGTGGATCTCGAGCTTCGGTCTTATTCCGTCGCTGCCAAAATCGCTGGATATGAGTCCAATGAAATGTTTTATTGGGGTTGTTTTAGAATTTTGTATACCAAGCTGAGCAGGGGCAGATTCAGAGAGATTTGTGGACGGACTTCAGAGAGCGGGAGTTTCGGCAATTGGAAATTGAAGAGCAGGGGACGACTGCATGAGTGCTTCTGAGATCAACTGTCTTGTGAAAATTAGGGAGGTACAAAAAGTATAAAAATCAATTACCTCCGTACATTCCTTTCACAGTGATGCTGAGCTGATCATAATACCAAAATTTTGTTCCGAATTTATTGCCTTGAGCATGAAAGTGGTTAGTCCCATCCAGCGTCTGCTATTCACTGTTTGCAGTGGTTGATTCTAGTGGAAGATGGCGCTTCGCACTGTCTTATTTCGATAGATCTCACACCTTTGATAGTGTACAGTTTCTATGCTTACATTCTTTGCTCGAAAGATCATGCTGATGAGTAGCCAGAAAGCACGAAAGCCCATCGTTGGCTGTTTTAGGTAGGACGAACTAAAGCAGTGCATGTGATGTTTGTTCATTCGCAACTTGACCACCTACACAGCTAGAAACGTTGCTTTAGGTGGTGACTGGACCTCCAATTCTCGGACTGATATCTTCGCGCTGTCTTATTTGATAGTTCTTACTTTCTGATATCCTGAAATCAGTATCACTTATAGCCATTCTATGAAATTTCATAGGCAAAATAACTAATAATTAGCTCCGTCGTATTAAAGCTTGAGTTGTGCGCTATCATAAACATATACGAGTACATTCGAATGGCAACCTGTGACATTATTTCTTTCTAGATATCGCGCTGAAAAATATAACAAACATAGACATTGCTGCCCAGGCTATGATATTCTTCTTAGGTGGTTTTGAAACTAGTTCCAATTTGATGAGTTTCATGGCATACGAATTGGCAGCGAACAAATATGTCCAAGATAGATTGAGAAAAGAAATTCAAGACACATTAGATGAGTGTAATGGACAATTGACACATGAGGCCCTTTTGAAGATGAAATATATGGACATGGTTGTTTCAGGTATGGGATACGTAGAATCATTTTACGATAACAGAAACATTGCCGTTTCTATTATCTATGTTATCTATACAGGTACAATTAGAAGCTGTAAAAGTCACAATGAAAGTGGCCTCATTGGACAAGTACATATATAATATGTATTACGACGGTTTGCTCGCGGAAAGTGCTCAAACCCTACTTATGTGTTTTTGAAGCTACACCAAAATGGCTGGCGGATTCAATAATCGTTTGAAAATTAGGGTTTTGTATAACACCAGTCATTAAGTACACATAGATACTAATGTCTAAAGGGTCCAGAAAGTTAAAAACAAAGTTTGCACTCTTCCTTCTTTATCAAAATTTGCAAAGATTGAGCATTCTTCAGCATAGGTTGGAAGATTTACTATTACTCAGTATTTCTTAGAATGCAAACAAGACGATGATCTATTGTTTCAGAAACCTTACGGAAGTGGCCTTCTAACCTCGTAATAGACAGAGAGTGTACCAAGCCATATACTCTAGAGCCAGTACAGTCAAGAGAGAAACCCATTCACCTTGAAAAAGGATCATACGTCTCTGCTATGGTGTATTGTATCCATCGAGATCCTAAATACTTTCCTAATCCAGACATATTTGACCCTGAAAGGTTCAGCAGTGAAAATATTGATAAAATCCAGCCTTATACATACCTGCCTTTTGGTGTAGGACCACGTAGCTGTATTGGGAGCAGATTTGCTCTTCTTGAAACAAAAGCATTGTTTTTTTATCTTCTAATGAGTTTTGAAATAGTGCGCACAGAGAAATCGTGCAAATCGGTACAGCTTGAACGTAAAGGTATCAGTTACATGATTAAAGGCGGAAACTGGTTGGGATTGAGGGCTTTAAAAAGGGGAGTGTAGCACAGGGTTTGATCGAATCTTCCAAAAATTTTCTTTGATATTTGACATTGTTTTAATGTATTATTTGTATGAATTATTGTTGAGTTATTGATATAAATAATCAGTCTTCTCAGTTTTTATGATTGACAGAATCAAGAACATCAGTTCAAGCGTTTGCCTGAACATACATAGTCCGGTTATTCCAATGAGGAACATAGAGCCTCTACAAACTGACGAAACTCTAGTGTGTTCTTCGCAAGCGTCTTAAACTGCCTCCAGGATGTTCACATTCGCGTCACCTCGACTATCATTGTTCTTTTACATGGAGCTTAAGCCTTACTATATTTCTGTGTGACAGAGCAGCTCTCTTTATACTACGAGTATGTGACCTAACCAGCTTCACTTCCTTTTCCTTATATCAGTCTTCAGTCCCTATTTTTCTCATCCCTGACTTTCTTCGTTTGATATTGTTCTTGGCCAAAATAGGGCGTACCAAGCAAAAATGAAAATTTTTTGGAGGAAGTTCCACAAATCGTATCTGCATAACTATGCTTGATATTTTCGTTTCTATTTGCATTTCATTCATATAGAGTGTTCCAAGCCCATTTGGCCACCCTATAAGCCTTTATACGCTCCAGCTCGTTAGCTCACGAACAGATATCCTAAACCACATGAGCTGATGAGTATGCATAATCAGCAATGGTGTATCCTCATCAGCCGAAGTGGGGATATGTTGAATATAAAAACTAGTTGGTCTGACATGTGGGGGTAGTTCCCCGCGGGGGATTAACTTTTGCCATTCTTCACTGCGAGAAGACCAGTGTAACTGGAGTTAGTACCTTTCTTATATGTTTATATTAATAGAGTTTCTTTGAGAGAACTGGGGACTATAGGTACTTTTAACAGCTTTTTGAAGCTCTAAGCGATATTGCTCAGTCCCGAGCAACTAACCCCCAAATCGCAATCGTGATAATATCTAATCGTTTTCATCACTTGTATAGTGTTTCTCTGTTATTGGATAGTGTATCTTTTGAGAAATATATACGAATAAAATAAAATATGGATATGGAAAACTACTGCGATTACTTTTTCGAAACTTTCAAGCAAGCCAAATGTGAACTCTGTTGTTAAAGTATTCGAGTGGATTCTATAGCGAGCTGGTTCAAGAAAAGAAATGCGGTTGTCGCCTACCTTTCATCCGGTATTTTGTTGAAATCCTGGTTGCTATTCCTTGCGTATCGGTGATTCAGCAGCGCTCCTGATGATCTGGTCGGCTTGCAGATAGCGGGTGTGTTAGCTAGTAACTCTCGTCTTCTTTGGATTGTCCAAGCGGCTCATGCACAAGCTACAACTCATATTCGCCCTAAAATGAAGACAACCCAAATATCACTAGCACGGGTTGTAAAAGAAATTGTACAGAAGGATTAACAATACATGCTTTAGAGTGAATGCAAAGGCTCCTGATCTCCAAATAAAAAAAAATGGGTATCTTTTTTATCAAACTTCAAAGTTATATAGAAGGATTGGGAAAGGGAAGAAATACCTAACAAATGTCGAATTCGTTGCAAGCATTTAATTGGTTATTGCAAAAAATCGTTCATTTTTGCAAAAGAGAAAATATGAAATAGTAGCCAAAAGTGTAGTTATTAACATCGAACAAAATATTCAAAAGTGCTCAAGCTATCCAGCGACGTGACTGATGCAACAAATTAGACATGCAATATCTAGTTGCACATTATGTCCATTACTATGAAACATAATAAAACAATTTATTTACAAAAATTATGGACATGAAGACAAAAACCTCCTTCTTGAGTTTGACAGTAACCTAACCTATTAAGCCAAGTGAATAAACTTTAGTAAATGCTTGTACTAGGCCATTTGTAGGTAAATACTTAGGATTGAGTGAATAAAATATGAAGTACATACTTTAGATCAACAATTTACTTCTGTTTGTAGTAAGTAATTAGCTTATGTAGGAAAACCTTAGTTTTTCCGAGTTTTCACTTAAAATTGAGTGAATAATGGGCAGTTAAATACTTGTGTTGTTAGTAAATACTCGATAATTTGTAAGGTAAGTGAATAGTATACTTACGGTTGAAAATGGCAGATTTCATGCAGTTACGCGAGGGTAAAACATATCGAAAAAGACGGAATGTTAGCCCTAGTCAGTCAAAACGTTTGTTGAGGTTTGATTCAGAAAGCGTAGATTTCTTATGTTCCGAGTTTCTTCCAGAAAATAATGAACGTAGAGGCGGGGCACTATCTGCAAGAACAAAGATGGAGATATGTCTACGCTATCTAGGCGATCCAGGGTTTCAGAGCGGAGTAGCAGAAGACTATGGGATTCACCGCACTACAGCCTGCAAAACGATAAGTTGGGTTCTTAATAAAGTGTACCAGAAGTCAGATCACTGGATTAGATTTCCAACAACTGTCGCTGAACTAAATATTAAATAGCAATCACGTTTCACAATTCCTACTGTGATCGGTGCGTTGGATTGCACTCACGTAAAAATAAAAAGGCCAAGAAGATTTGCTGACGAGCAAAATGCAAAGGCTATACAAGTATAAATGTACAAGCTACGTGTGATGCTAGCGAAAAAATTACAAGTATAGATGCGCAGTGGCCGGGAAGTGTACACGATGGCAGGATTTGGAGGCGAAGTACAGTAAATGAAGTATTATCACAGTTTAAGGGATCATTTTGTCTCCTTGGTGATTCAGGATATGGTATATCACCATGGCTCTTGACTCCATTCATACCTGCAATAAACAGACAACAAGAATGGTTTAACCTACTACATTCTTGAGAACGGGTGATAATAGAAAGACTATTCGGACAACTGAAAATACGCTTTCCTATACTCAGCAATACTGTCAGAGTATCAAGTGAGAAGGTCCCGAAAATAATATTGTGTTGCGCAGTTCTGCATAATATAGCAAAATATTTGAATTTGAACGATGACTTTGACCTAGAAGGAGCCTTTGAAGATGAACTTTAGGACGAAGTAATGTTTGAAGACGAGGAAGGTGATGACGGTAACCGTTTGCGCCGTACAAGAGTAAGAAAACGCGAGGACATTATTGTAGTTTTAAATTTATAACATTTTTGTAGTTTTATAAATTAAACATACTTTTAACATGGAAACGTTTATTTGTGAGAATTGAATACATAAAAAGAAAATATTACTTGTCAAACCGTAAATATGTCCCGAGCTCTGTTAGAATATTTTCGTTGGGAACTGGCTTCTACATTTAAATTTTGAACTAAACGCTGTTTCAATAATTCAATAACTAACTTGTCTTTGTCCTGTTGCAAACTCGCTGCTGCTAACTGTTGTAATAGTACAAGGCGTTGCAACTCAGTAGTTGCAAGCCGAGATGTTTCCGCTGTTTCACCCTCTAGAACACGTTTTCGTCGATATACCACATCAACTTCCTGACGGGGCGGACTTCTGGTCCCTTTTCAGGCCACATCTGATAGGAAGGGCGCATTTCGGATTCCTACAAGCGACGAATCTGATGAGTTTTCCATTGTTAGTCCAGCTGCAACGCCTCCAGGAATTTTTGAAAAAACAGGATTCTCTTCAATCTGTACGATTTTTAGAAATTCACTTTCCTATTTATTCACTTTCATCGGTTTATTGCCCGTCCCGTTTGTATCTGTTTTTTTCTTAATATTCGTCTTCATGTTATTCAGGAGTTTTTTCAGTTGTGCTATGGTGATTACTTTGCCAATGCCTTTAATGTACTCATCTTTTATTTCATTCCAGGCTTTCGGCAACATATATTTATTTAATACCACTCGGTGGTTCTTTAATAACCTCACAAAGAGCATCTTACTTTGGGTATTACTCGCTTCAACTTTACAGCTTTCATTTTTATCTGCACTACTTTCTTCTTCACTACTAGACATGATAGCATGACTGATAAAATATGTTAATTTAGTAATTTTGTGTACACGACGGACGTGTCGTGTTTACAGTTTTTGCCGTCGCGTCGTAAGGAATACGTAGTACTGGTGTAGCGAAGTAAATACTTAACTTGGAAAGTTTATAAGAAAATACTTGCTAGTAATTACTTCAACTTTTCCAGCAAACGCTACCTAGTAAAAGTAAACGGTTATTCTCTCTAAATTAAGAATTTGCTTTTACTTGCCAGTCCTTACTTTACTAAAACGTAAATACTTCCTAGTGTTTACTACTTTTTATTCACTTGGCCCATATTGTAGAAGCCTGTGCGAACATTTTCTGGTGTAACGCGGCAGATTGCTTGACCTTCTGCATTCGAGTAATAGTTAAAATTGGAAGGCTCACTAGCTGCAACGATTCATTTAGAACATTAAAGATTTTAACCTTACCATCTGTATAACGTATATACTCAATATACTTATCCTTGCTAAAACACAATTGAGCAAGTTCAATTCTGTAAGCACTGGTGCTTACTTTACAAGGAACAGTCAAGTGTTGGAGGTGCCGTCGCATAGATTGGCGAGAACGGAGGAGAGCCCTAGATACATGGCTATTAAGTTTTTCAACAGACTCCCCAACAATTTGAAATCACAACCACTGAACACTTTTAAAAGAACAGTCAAACAGTTTTTACTGGAGAAAACTTTTTACTCTATTGAGGAATTTTTAATGTGTGAATGTCTTGTTTGATTTTGATCATTGTTGTTTGAATGTCATTTAATGGTTTGTCCTTTATTTCGCTTTTTTATATATACATATATGTTTTATATTTAAAAATTCTATCAATAAGCTAATTTTATTTATCTGTATCCATATTTGGAATATACCATATGTGGTACGAATATGTGTGCGTCCACACTAACATGATTTGTTATAAGCTTTTGTAGTACTCTGACTGACTTATCCTATATCACATCTGTGATCATACAGGACTAATAAATTATTAGAGGAGAAGGTGTAAATATGGAATACCATTTTTTTGTTCGCTCCTATTTTAAAAAATATGATCAGAATTATGCCAAATTTGGGGAACGGGTACTCAAAGGATGAAGACACATGAATATAAACTCAAAAGTGTAATTCTCTCAAAAAAAATCACCACCTGAGAAAAGGTGGTGCAAATATGGAATACCTTAACTAAGCTAGAATATAATGCATATTTTTACAGTTTACTTGCACCAATCGCAAATATATTCGTCTTTTTCGGCCACAGCACACTCGTTATGTGCCCACATCAAACATTGCACCCATAATTCTCCTCTCTGATCAGCAGAAAACGCAGCCTGACAAAACATGCATGAAGCATCGTCCTCATTGGGTTTTGTATGCCCTGGCATACTCTCTAAATCACTGTCAGAGTCATCAAGTCTTACATCTTCGGAACTTTCAGTTTCATCAGAAGAAACTTCGTTCTTTGGACGTTTTAATGTGGTCTGGATTTTAGGTCTTACGATCTTTGGTTTTGGTTTTTTAGGATTTCTTTTTGGTTTTAAAGATTTTCCTGAGGACAAGTTTCTTTTAATGCCACAAACTTTTGACTCTTTTTCAGTTTTCTTATTTATTGAGTCATTTAGTTCATCTTTGTATGGTCACGAGGTAATCACAGCCGAACCCATTACCTTACGTCCTCTGTTAGTTTTTTTGCGGATTGTGTTTGGAACTGGCGATATGTCAAACGGTGAAACGAATTCCTTTGTTATAGTGTCGTCAGCTTTTGAGTAAGAGCTTTGCTCTTTTTCTTGGTCAATCGTCTGAGTTCTGATTGGCACATTATCTTCGCATGAGGTTTTAGAGCGTGAAGGTTGATCGATATCGATAGGCTCGACCCAATCTTTAGAGCAGGATGGTTTGTTAACGTCAACAGAAGCAGCGGTTTTAAGGTTTTCAATGCCAACGGTAATTCCTCTTTTTGCTGCTTCTTGTTCTGCAGCAATATAGTCAGCATTAGTAAAAACGTTTCTGTTAAAAGGGCAGATTCCAGTGACGCGAAAACCATTTGCCGCTATTGAGTAAGTCTGAACTTTTTCATAAGCTCTACCAAATAACTCCATAATGTCAAAAGGGCTCAGAGCCCGTTGGTTTTGGCGGATCCAAATACGAATCTCTTCACTGTAATAGACTTTCAATGGGCCCATCAATGACTTATCCAACGGTTGGAGTTCGTGTGTAGAGTGAGGAGGTAGACACAAAATAGTGACAAAATTTTCTCTTGCAAGATCAATAATTTCAATATTGCGCGTGTGGGTGTAATGACCGTCAAGAATTAGCAGGATAGGGTTCTCTTCAGTTGGTTTAACGTATTGGATAAAGTGACGAAACCACTGGGTGAAAATATGGCATTGTACCCAACCGGATGGATGTGCAACTCCTATGGACCCAGGAGGAGCTCGTTTCATTAGCTGCATGTTCATATTTTTTCTAGGAAAAATAACTAAAGGAGGGAAAAAGTTTCCAGCAGCACTCATACAAGAAATGACTGTAATCAAAGCCCCTCGCTCTGCAGATGTTAATGAAGCAATTTGGCGTTTCCCTTTAAGTCCTACTACTTTTGATACTCTACTTTGGACAATCATTAGGCCTGTTTCGTCTACGTTATACACGTTGTGTGGCGAGTAAGGCATTTGTCTTTCCAGGTCAAAAAAGCCATCCACCCTTTCCTTACAGAATCCTGCAGCTCTTGCAAAAGACGTACCCGTTGGCTTCCTTATTGACAATTCTGGATGTCGCTTCAAGAACAAATCAATCCACGCTCTGCCTGCAGCTCCTGTTGGAGAAAATGGATGTTTAATTTTATTTCTTGCTGCCAACTGATAAGCCATGCGCCTCACGTCTTGGGATGTAAGGCCATAAAATTTGGACTCCATAGCTAAGATATAATCCACTAGTTCCTTATCTAGCTTTGAACCCAGAATACATTTTCTTCCCAGCTTTGTTACTGCAGCACTCTCTGGAGTAACTGTGCCATCTCTACTAAGTCGAAAAATCGTTGTTCGTGGAACGTTAAAGGATCTGGCTGCCTTGAGATATCCCATTGTTTTTTTCTCTAACTACCTTGATAGCTCTAGCCATGTCTTGTTCATTGTATTGCTTCCGTTTTCTAGGACTGGAAGGTCGACGATCTGTACGTCGAGGCATCCTAAAAAAATAATAAACTTGAAAATACATTGAAAAAAAAAATTGTGTAAATATGGAATACCAGTATTCCATATTACCAACACTATACGTTTTCAATATTTGAGGTTATATCTAATCTATCAAAACAAAAACTTCAACAAATACAACGGCATCTTAAACTTTAGTTCATGTAGACTGTCAACGTACAGAATATTTAAATAAAATCATATAATAAAAAAACTACGCTTAAATAATGACTTACTTGAATAAAGTTCGAGGGTGCGTAAAACACAGGTGCACGTGTAACAAACAAAAACAAACTGAAATCTGCGCCCTGCAGTGTTCGGGTAATAAAGGATGATAAAATTCGTAAGTTAAACCGTATTTTGATAGAGGGCGGCACTTGGTTTTTTCAAAACCTTGGTATTCCATATTTAGACCATATTCCATATTTACACCTTCTCCCCTATTATTATCACCATTGCTAGGCAATGTGGTGATGACCTTCGCTCTTCAGCCGGCTTCTATTTGTTCTGACATGTGTTGATACACACTTCTCGCGCTTGTCTCTCGTACAAATTGAACTCAAGCCGTCAGACAAATTTGGATTTCCTGTACAGTGCATTTAGCAAAATTAAGCTTATATGCAACATAGATTTTAACTAATCCTAGTAATTTCTTATTGATAGATATTGATTCAGCTTGTGGATAATCCTCTACATGAATAATTTAATTTTTATACAAAATGTTCATTCATCAATTTTTTTAGTTAGGGAAAAGGGGTGCAGCTGACCCCCCTTGCCCTCCCCTGCGTACGCCCTTGTGCTCGCCCATGTTCACACCCATAACCTATGATCGACTTTACGTTGCTATTGCTATTTCAATTTTGATTGAGTACACTGATGATTGCTAAGCTTAACTGAATGTCTTCTTATGTTCTTTACTGTTAACAATGCTGCGTAGATATTCGAAGACATCGACTTTTCTATTGCTTCGCTGTAAAGGATTAACGGGTTGGGTATATTCATCCTCATTTCTTTGTTTTTTTTTCACATGGATCTTCAATCCTATTTTGGCCGATTTTCTTTCCAAGTTTATAATCTTCAACCTTGAATCTTGCATAGTGTGTGATAGTAGACAGATGCCGTCATCCTAGTCCAAGACCTCGAGACTCCCCATGAGTCCCCATGTGATACCACCCCGTCCGTCACATCGATACTGATTTTTTCGCCTTTTTCAGCCTTGAGGCCTGGCTTGAGGCATCTATATATACGTCTTCGTTGATGATTTTCTGTGTGATTATTCCCACTTTCCTCATGCGTTTCCATACTAGTATGGATCACAGTGTTGAAGGCCCTCTCGAAGTCAATACATATTAAATGTAGTTTAGAGTTGCACTGGTTGGATTCCTATTAGTGTATTAATTTGGTCAATCCAAGATACGCCAGGGTGGATTACATCTCGCTCTACCATCAAGGTATTCTCTATAAAAGGTTTTAGCTACTCGAGTATTATTATTGCTAATACTTCTCGAATTCTCGCATACCGTGGAATCTGCCTCTTTTGGTAGGTTGATGAACAAGGCCTTCTTACCATTCTGTAGGCGCATTTTCCTCATTCCATACAATTGATATGATAGGAAGCAGTACTGCTGCCGTAGTAGTTGCACTTGCTTTGATCAATTCGGAGTGTTCGGAGGGTCTGTTATCTGATCCAACTGACTCTCCTCAGGTTCCGGTGTTGAAGTATCCAATTCGTGTGATATAGCTGATGATGCAGTTTCGATTGTGCGCTTACTCCATATTTGTACTTGTTCCTTGGGGTCGCATATTGCCTGTCCATTTTTGGCTTTAATAATTGTCTGGATTTACGTATAATTGCCAATGGGACATTTGGTAATGGAGTACGATTCTTTGGTGCTACCTGCGGAGACTCTTGTTTCTCCTAGCACTTTTTTGACCTTTTGTTCATTTTTCTATATTCATTGTCTAATATTTTTTGTTACCTATTTGTTGTAGATGTTTCATGTTCATTATTTCATGTTTTTTGTTTTTTCTTTCCTGTAACGTATTCCAGGAACCTTCGGTAATCCATTGCTTTTTTGCTAGTACTTTGATGGCGACTTCTTCCTCTGTGTTTGCTAAGATATCCTCACTATATTTTTATCACAGTTCACTTGTTTCAAAGTACATCAAGCCTTTTAAGCTGTAGATTGTAGAATAAGAATGTCGAGGTTTAAATCTTCAACTGAAATCCGTCATACTGGTTTTCTTAAATTTTAGTATACCCAGTGCCACTCGCGTCAAGACAAATCTAGAGGAACCTCAAGTAATAGAATCCATCAAGCATTTCAAACTGGAGCACATGATATAGAAATTTCAAGGTTGATTGTTTTTATTAGAACTGCCGTTTTGTTTCGATAAGACCCTAATATAGCACAAATCCAACAGCACATCATATGTCAAAATTCATCGAGCCGTTTGGCCTGTAGCTTGTGAAAGAGATTGTGAAAGAGAACTTTTTGCCTACTATATAAGTACGAAAAACATAACCCTTCTTCCGAGACAGTCGAGTAAAAATCCAGTGGTGATCGGCCCTACAAATGTGAGCCTAAATTACCTAACGAACTCTTTCACTCTATCTGTTCTGTGAGCAGTCTTGATGAGCCTTGTCTGTCTTATGCCATCATTTCAGCTTGGTTATCCCTTGTGATATAAAACTGAAAGAGTAGAAGATGTTCTTCTCGAGGGGTGGAGGTATGGGCGATTTGAAATTGAAGAGCCCCCGCACGGTGACTCAAAAGTGAAAATCGTGGAGTGAAAAACACGTTCGAATTTTAAACCTTGATATTTCGGGGAGTGGGTCTGGATTCCATACCCCCAATCTACCGCTACTACAACACGAATAATCTGAGGTGGCTCCAATATGGCTAAATATAGAATCGTTCGTTCCTCGACACAAGCCTCTCAGATATTCACTCGTTTGATTGATAATTTCATGTACCTTCGCATGTCTAGGTCCTTAGATGCTGCCTCTCAATATTATCTTCATAGAATACGGCACATCCGGATATGGGTACTTACATAAAACAAAATGGCATAGACTCTGGATCGGAAGCTGTTTGTATACTAATCTTAAATAAAAACAAAATTGATAAACATATCTCATTAGTAATGTCTAGATAATTTGAATTTGGAAATGTGGATATTTCGGGAAATATCGTGTCAATCTACTTGACACCATAAATGTCAAGCAATGAAGATGAAAAGTGCATATAGGAATTAGGTAAATTTTTGCCGCGGGATCCTGCAACATGGGTTAAGTTATGGGCAGATTTTCAAGGTCACCACAGCTACAATGATTCAACAGTATGAACTAGTAGTACCATCTGTAGGAATATACTTTATTGTCTTGGGTTTTTCTTGGCTTACGACAATCCACGCCCACGAATCTCAGAGGGCGCAAAATACAATCCACTAACAAAGGCGTCATAGTTTTGATACCTACCGGTTGATGCCACAAGATTCATTGTCCAACCTGCTATATCTTCTGGTTGGACCCTACGATGTCACAGACTTGAGTTCTGGCTGGTCCGCCGCAGCACTTCCCGATACGTGTTCTCTAATTTCACAGACTGTGCAGGCGCCGAGATTTTTCCAGCAATTTTCGTCATAGCGCCTGCACCCTGTGCTTGACCCGTCCATCAGGTTGGAACTTGGGTATGTGATATCCTAGAATATAATGAAAACACAATATCAAAATAGTATAACAGTGCATTTTGCATTAGATACCTTGGTGGAGCAATATGCCATTATTGGAAGAGTACTTTTATATTATGAGAAGCATAATGTCGAGAGATACAATGTGTGAGTATAATCATGGAATTCTCCACCGAGCCTTGTATCTCTAGTCTAATCATAGGCGAAAATACCCCCGGTTTGTGAAATAATTGTAAAGTCTGGTTTTATTGATGTGAGTTGTTCAAGGGGATACACGAATGTTTGTTGCAAAACTTTTTATTCGACAACAAATAATGAGAAAACGTGTTTTGTTGGATTCAATTCAAAATGTTGGCAGGAAAGAAAAAACTCTTCAAATAGGATTTTTAGGTATTTATAAGACCTACAAAATGAGACCACACGTAAAAAGTTCTGACTAATAGTAAAAAAGTTATGGCCGAAAACCGAGGCAACATGCAGTTTTTGGAACTTGTTGCTAATGCCACACGATAATTTCACGCAGCTACTTGAAATTTTTCAAATCCGAAGGATTATTACTTCTAAATAACCACTATAAAATTGGACTCGATTGGTCAAGTAGTTTTTGAGAATTTCTAATTGTTTATCCCGAAACCCCTGTCTTCCGGCCATCACTAATAGTTTATTGAGCAATATACAGGGCTCGTTCAAAGGGCATTTTATAGCGAAATACACGAGTTTACCTTGCGGATATGAATCACAAGCTATTCCGAAAGATAATTGTTATTTTTATGCGAAAAACGAAGGTTTCCTTTTTCCTCCTGAACAAATTCAAACATTTCGTATTTGTAAGTAAGTGAACAAATTCGCTACGATATTCGAAAAACATACGTTATTATACACATTCTGAAAGAAAGCGGATGTATCTATCACCTTTTGTTTCGAAGAAAAAAACTACTTACAAATACGAAATGTTTGAATTTGTTTAGAAGAAAAGAAACGTAACCCTTCGTTTTTCGCATAAAAATAATAATTATCTGTCTGAATAGCTTGTGATTCATGACGGCATGGTAAACTCTGTTTATTGCTCAATAAACTAGGAGTGATGGCCGGAAGACAGGTGTTTTGGGATAAACAATTTGAAATTCTCAAAAACTACTTAACCAATCGACTCCAATTTCGTTGTGGTTATTTAGAAATAAGAAGCCTTTGGATTTGAATAATTTCAGGTAGCTGCGTGAAATTATCGTCGTATTAGTGCCGAAACCTGCATTTTGCCGTGGTTTTCGTCCATAACCTCATGCTGTAGGTTTCATAAATACCTAAAAATATTATTTGAAGAGTTTTCTCGTTCCTGCAAACACTTTCGATTGAATCCCAAAAACACGTTTTCTCACTCTTTGTTATCGAATAAAAAGTTTTCCCACAAAAATTGGGGTACCCAAATAATGGGATGAATAAGTACAATCAACGGCAATAATTTCAGTTATAAAATAGTATCAGTAATGTTCTGAAATGCATATCGGGTTAAATAGCAATAATAGTTTTGTGTTGTTATAGAAGACCTACATAAATGCGCACAACTCATTATTTACCTAGGGCGTGCTCATTACCACCATTCACCTAGGGTGAAAAATGTAACTTCTTATAGGAATGTTTAGCGTGTTATATCTTGCTAACTTCATATGTCTATCAGGTATATCCTGAAATACTTGAATACAAAATATGATTGAAATACCTTTTAATAACGACGTTTCCGACACCACGGTGCATATGTAGTTTGAATTACAGACCTACCAGACAGTGGGTTCCTATCAACAAGAAAGCCAAAGCAAAAGTGTCAGGTGTCACGTGAAGACAATATTAGGTGTAGTACGTTATGTACCTACCGTTTTTTAATATTTCCATAGTCGGTAAAGTATTTGAAAACGGCTTTTAATGCTAGCATTATCAAAATATACTTACTGACATATAAATCCGAACACCCAGTTTAAATGGTTTTATTTTAATAAAAGTTGGTGAATGTATTTATCTTACTGTAAATAACAAGTGAAAACATTTTCAGCCTTATCAGTTGGACATTCCAGTATTTATACTGCTTTTTTTAATTCACTAAGGCTCTAAAAATGAATATTTCAGCCGCAGTAAAGAATCAACGTTGGCGGATTTTGGTTCTTGACATCCTTTACGATCGGTTACGATGCCTAGAGTACGGAGACCTGTACGATTTCGTCAACTTAGTGAGTTTGATAGGGGCCGTATAGTGGGACTTCGGGAAGCTGGACTTTCTTTTCGGGCAATTGCAGTTAGAGTGCAAAGAAGTGTAGACACTGTGGTTAGGTGTTGTCAGACATGGCTTCGAGAAGGCCGTACGCAAAGAGCAAGGGGCACTGGACGCCGCCGTAGAACAACAGACCGTGAAGATCGCCGCCTAAGATTATTGGCCTTAAGGGACCGTTTCTCCACTACCAGGTCCATTGCAAATGAATGATTTGCAGAACACGGAAGACCTATTGGCATGCGAAGTGTTTACCGACGAATGAGAAGTTTTGGCTTGTTTTCATACCGGCCACACTGGGTCCTCCCTTTAACTCGAGAACATCGACGTAATCGCCTTGAGTGATGCAGACAACGGTCACTCTGGGATCAGGAATGGAACAGTATTGTCTTTAGTGACGAGTCTCGATTTTATTTAGGCATGCACTATGGTCGTGCCAGGGTTAGAAGGCGACGTGGTGAAAGGAGGAATCCACAGTTTTTTGTTGAAAGACATGTTCATCACACTGTTGGAGTTATGGTTTGGGGTGCTATAGCTTATGGTTCCAGGTCACCTTTAATCTTCATCAGAGGTAACATGAACGCGCAGCGTTATATCCACGAAGTTCTAGAACCCCACCTTTTACCCTATCTTGACACCCTGGCAGATCCAACCACATGTTGCAAGAGTCACAATAGACTTCTTTCAACATAATGATGTCACATTGTTACCATGGCCACCAATATCTCCCGACTTATCCCCAATTGAGCACGTGTGGGATATGATGGGTAGGAGATTGCTCAATTTGCAACGTCCTCCTCAGACTCTAGAAGCACTTCGAGAGGAGTTGGTGGTTGCCTGGAATGAGATACCACAGGAGGACATTGACCACCTGATCAGAAGCATGCCTAGGCGCGTTGGAGAATGTGTAGCACATCAGGGTGCATCCACACATTATTAAAGGTCAAAGGGCTTTAAAGCAGTGCAATCATTTTGAAATTTTTATCATTTACTTATTATTCTTCATTAAGTACTTATACAAAATTTTATTAAAATAAAACCATTTAAACTGGGTGTTCGGATTTATATGTCACTTAGTATACAATTCCTACTGCATTTGCTTGGGCTTGTTAGTTTGACACCAGGATACTAGTTGAGGTATTTCTATAATGGGTATGAATAGTCATGATTGTTGATTTACGTATAGGTTGGAAATATTTAAAAGTTATGAAATCGAATGGTGTGATATAATGGGTGATTTTTTTGCTAGTATCTTTTTGGCAACACTGTTTTTGACTGATGACGCGTGAATCGGGTCTTGTGTCATTGTCAAACTTGTTCAGTTTGGTCTATGTTTAACCATGAATCGACTTACGAACGAACAACGCTTGCAAATTATTGAATTTTACTATCAAAATTCATGCTCGGTTAAGAGAGTGCATCGAGCACTGCTTCCAATTTATGGGCAATTTGGTCGGCCTACTGAGGGAGCTATTCGGAAGCTTGTGACTAAATTTCGAATCCGGTTTACATTATTGGACATTAAACCACCAACACGCAGACGTAAAGTGAGGACTGAAGAAAATATTGTGGCTGTATCCGCCAATGTTAGTGATGACCGTGGAATGTCGATTCGCCGCCGTTCGCAGCAATTGGGCCTCTGTTACTCCACTACGTGGAAAATTTTGCTACAGGATTTGGGTGTAAAACCTTATAAGATAGCTGGTGCAAGAATTGAAGCCACACGACCTCCCACAACGTTTCCAATTTGGTGAATGGGCGCTGGCAATGTTGGAGGAAGATCCACATTTTTATCGAAAAATTGTGTTCAGCGACGAAGCTCATTTCTGGTTGAATGGGTACGTTAACAAGCAAAATTGCCTCATCTGAAGTGAAGACCACCCAGAAGCATTGCAAGAGCTACCAATGCATCCCGAAAAAATCACTGTTTGGTATGGATTATGGGCCGGTGGCATCATCGGGCCGTACTTCTTCAAAGACGACAATGGCCGGAACGTAACTGTGAATGGCGAGCGCTACCGTGCGATGACAACAAAATGGAAGAGCTGGACTTGGCTGACATGTGGTTTCAACAAGACGGTGCCACATGCCACACCGCACACGAAACGATGGCCCTATTGCGAGGCGAGTTCGGTGAACAGTTTATCTCACGTTTGGGGCCCGTCAATTGGCCGCCTAGATCGTGTGATTTAACGCCGTTGGACTATTTCTTGTGGGGCCATGTTAAGGCTAATATCTACATTGATAAACCAGCAACGATTGACGCACTGGCAGCCAATATTGAAGCATTTATTCGTGAGATACCAGCCGATATGTTGGAGAGAGTGTGCCTAAATTGGACCTTGCGCATGGGCCATCTAAAGCGGAGCCGCGGCCAACATTTACATGAAATAATCTTTAAATATTAAATTATATCGACCGTTCTATCGACTCAAATAAAGATTTAATCGTTTTTTTTGAAAATCAAATCCTATACCTCTTAAAAAATCACCCGTTACAATTGTGCTAAAAGTCTGTACATACCTAATTTTGATAGTAGCAGATAGAAGATAGTTGAAGGTGCTCGATCAAAAATGAGTTACTTCTCAATTCAGATATGTAATGGACTATTATTTCACTGTTAACCTGAGAAATCGTGATTGTTGTCCGCGATCCTTCAGAGAGAAGTAGGTTTCTCCAAGTAAATAATAATAAAACTGTATTTTGTTTGAAAACTGCACACATTTTTCATATTTCGGAATATTTGTAAACAATTGAGAAACAAATAGTGTTTAATAAAGGTTTTAACGTAGCTATCGTTTTTGAGTGTCCTAATAGTCGACATAATATCGGAAAACTGCTTTCAATTGTAACGGTTTCACCGTCCGATTGTATTTATTAAATCACTTCTCGATTATCATTTCAGAATCGCAACTCATTAATCCCATCTCTAGCTTTTTTACTTGGAAAAATTTCCGCTTGGAGCGCGCTTGATGCGGAGTTCCTGATCTGTGATCTTCCTCGCGCTTCCTTTTCACTTGAGCCGCCGATCTAACAAGAGCTCAGAATTTTGTTCTCTGGTAGCATGAGGTCATATAGCACCATGTGCTAGAATTTTGTAAAATGTGTGTCCAAATAGGATAAAATTATTGGGGCCACCACCTTTCCCTTTCCCTTTCCCTTTGCCTTTGTCTTTGACTTTTGCTTTTGCCTTTGTCTTTGACTTTGCATTGCTTGGCCTATCACTTCACCCATGAATGTGCCTTGGCAGCGCCAACACCTTTAAGTTCAACTTCGCCTACATCTAGTTTTGAAGCCACTAAATGTGAGGTCACCCCTCATAACTGGGACCTCCACTTCAAGCACCTGGCCATCCTCGCTTCAGTCCAGTCAAAATGGACCAGCTTAGCGAAAGATAAGTGTATAGTTTTAAGCAGCGCCAAAGATTTAAAACTTTTATTTTGTTCTTTAAAATTTCAATTTCAAATGTAATGAAAGTGCTTTTCAAGTTAAATAAAATCTGTTAAATTTTTGTGTTCTGTTTGTTCTTCTATCCTCTAGCCATGCCATGGTCGACACACAGCTACACGCCTGTAGATGTCTTCATGCCACCGACTGAGCTACCGGAAGCTAATGGTAACCCCCTTTCTGTGATTGTGCAGAAAAGTTGGAATCTTCATTGCATTCCAACTTTTCTGGACTTTTTGCGGAAAGGAAGGCTTACACAATGTTAACAGAAGGAAAATACAACCGACCAACGTTTGCGGCAAACACGTGCGCCGCGGGGGAAGAGCGTGCCAGTGCGGCCGTGGAGAATTTTAGGATCTGCCGACTCTCCCCCCCCTCTCCGCTGAGAAAATTAGCTATGCCACTCTCTTTAAAAAGTTTTAGCGGAGGTACACTCCCACAGAAAGTTGTAAATGGGCGCTTATGGCAGCTTATTCTTTAAAATGGACAAGTCCAAGCTGACTTCCAGTTATTCTCTGTTTGTTAGTCTGACAACAGGCATGATGTTGTTATAGGTGAAAAAATTCTATACATACCTTGTCTGGAATTGGTATTATTGATTTCGCACAATAATGGTTCACTTCTCGTACTAGGCATATTGTCACACTCGAGTGAAAAAGGACGTGTTGTTGCTCGCAATCTGGCACTTATGGTTTACGTTTTCTGTGGCCCAATCCCAATTGCTTGCTCACTATAAGCGCTCATTCCAGCATTCGGGTAGAAACCTCGTAGAAGGCAATATAAATTTTATTACTTTTTTGAAATTTTATAATCTAACGATACTTGCACTTTTCCACTTGGCCTATTACCCTTTTTATATGGCTACAGTAATATTCCTTGATATGATGCACACGTTGATAAATCCCTTTCCTGAGACACTACTTCTTCGACCTTGATTACCCGGATTCTATTGGCCAAATTTGATGTAACGAGGGAAATTGCGAGTCGGTGACTGCAACTTTAAGAGCGTTAACGCCAATTTCTGATCGCAACTCTGGTCGCAGTAGACAAGCACTTGATAGAAAATGACCAATTTCATCGCAAAATCATCGTCAGTGATGAGGGGAATTTTAGCTAAACGGCTTTGTCAACAAACAGAATATGCGTTATTGGTCAGGTGGAAACCCTCATGTGCCTCAAAAAACACGACTTCATCATTTTTTTGTTTTTCGTTGATGAAAATGACCGTCACGTTAAAGTCAATGGAGATCGCTTCAAAGACATGTTGCAACATTATTTTTTTGGTCACTTGGATAGGCTGGACATTAATGATATGTGGTTTCAACAAGCCAGTGCCACAAGCCACACAGCGGGTGGAAAGGAAGAAATTCGGTGAACGTGTTATATCGAGAAATTGTCTTGTCGGATGGCCTCCTAGATCGTGTGATTTAACACCTCTAGACTTTTTTTGTGGGGCTACAGTGAATCATTGGTCTATGCCAACAACCTGCCGTCGTTAGCGGAGCTCAAATCCAATATTGAATGAGAGAGCGGGCAGCAGCGGTGGCCGCAATAGTAGACTCTTCGGTCACCTGATCAGTCGCCGTGCGCTGTGCGGGTTCGAGTCCCGTCCCAGGAGAAATGTTTCTCTTGGCTATGGATGTTGTGATTGTCCGTAGGTGGTAGATGGTCTCTGACTGTCGAACGCGGAGGTACCACCCGGCGGTTCTCGTAGGCGGAGCCAGAATGTGTGCATGTTGCATGCACAAGTGTTCCCTCGCCAGAGTCCGTGTGGCGTCACGCCTTTCCCATGTATCCCCCTATAATAGCCCCACGGTACCCAATGGGTGCTTAGGCCTTAGGCCTTCGTGGTAGTTGGAGTATAAAAAAAATATATAAATATCTCTAAAATTGTAGTATTTGAAATTGTGGATTAGGAGCTTGTGGTCCTCACAATCAAAAGCTTTATTCACATGATCACAAAAAGTCACTGCGGTGTATTTTAACGAAACTAAGCATGATGCTTCCGCCGTCCGACCAAAAGACAGCTATAGCCTTCCAGTGAAGTACAAATATTTGCAGATGGCTGTGTTCGTCTCTGGCTCTTGGATCCAACATTGTTCTTCTTACATATCAACGACCTCCTTTCCTGTATGGCAATGGAATACACAGCATTGCTGATGACAGCACTCTACATGCAGGAGTTCAGAGTGACAGGCCGATCTCAGCCAGTGAGCTGGAGAAAAAAAGAATAGCAGCGACTTCCTTTCTGACGAAAGACCTGGAGGTTAGCAATGCCTGGGGACATAGTAATCTTGTACAGTTTAATGCTTCCAAAACACAATATTGTAGCTTAACGAACAAAAAGCGTCCTATCGCTCATCAAGTTTTGATGGATGACCAAGTTCTACCGAAAAGCCTCAATTTCGGCTGGTCGTTGTGCAGATCACCGATGACTTGATGTGGCACGAACACATCTGGTCAATAGCAGCAGCCCTATTAGAATCAGTTGTTCTGTATTGTCTGTTTAGTTCACTCAGAAGACCCATTCGGTCTGTATATTTTCCACTAATCGGTTTTCAGATGACAAGTTCATGAAGAGATTATCAAGACAAGAGTCAAAGCTTGTTCCGAATAAATGACAGAGCTGAGCAGCCTCTCGCTTTTCATTTCCAAGATGCACTTTGAAGTCCCCGACCAATACCAGATATTTATTTGTGCTCCGTTTATTTGATAGATCTTCCAAGACAGATAAAAAGGTACCAAAGTGTCCAGAGGGCGATCTATTAATAGTTAAAAAATACTAGCTCAGTTGGACAGACGCTTTTCGATGGGCCAGAGACGTGAGCGAAATAAGTGCAAAATATTTCAGAACAACGAAAAGGCTAAATGGACAATTTGTTATGGTACGTTGCAAGTATTACCGTAGTTTCATTGTAGCGAATGAATCTCGAGCTTCGCTACCTAAGAGTACAAACCTATAAAAGCATCGCCCAAATAAAAAAAGCTTAGCCGCAGAGATGGGACTGGCACCTCCAACCATCTCGATTGTCATTTACGGAGGGTTTTTCGGGGTTGGATGCGGTTGCGGATTGCGATCACTTAGGGGGGTCGGGTTTCAGTTTGCGACGCCGACGACTCATTTCCTCGCTGACAAACGCCCCCATGATTGGCCGTAATTCGCTGGCAGCGGCCTGCGCACCATCACCATCGTAACCCGGCTGCTGCCGCTGCTTTCAATTTGCGCACATTAGCCTGCTAACGAGACTATTACATCTCTGTATTCCATGCTGGAAGAGAACAGGGCCGGCATTTTTCGTTCTGGAAGAGACTTGGTGTAGGTACGAAGCTTCGTGAATGACGAATGTGATTTGATTTCATTGAATTTTGACAAGAGCAGTTGGCCTGTTATATCTGGATCCACTTTACGTCCTCGAAGCACTTTGAAAACAAGAAATGACAAAATAATGATCTGTTGCATTGTCTTTGGGTAGTTAAATGTCAACAGAAATCTCTATTTCTTGTTGAATGTTCAGAATTGTTTGTTTATTACGTTTATGTTGCTTTTTGATAAACTACCCGCTAGGGTATTCGTCAACTGAAATTATAGTTATATTAACTAGCACTCACTGGCTAAGTCTTGTGTTCAGCTCAGGTGATGAATATGACCTGCTCACCAAAACAATCAACTGCTCTCCAAAACACCGGTATCAGTGATGACTGCATAAAATACTGCTAGGATCATTTGCATATAATAGTATAACTGGTAATTTTCGCAAATCTGAAAGAATTATATATTCCAATACCTTAAAATTTGAAAACGTTTTGGTGTTTCTGTGTTGGGTGCTGTAGCCGACCGTTCTCGCGCGCCGACGTTCGGTCGTGACGTCACATGACATAAGTTCCACTTCTTTGCTTCAGCAATGATGCGACCGGACGACTCGCTGGCTCTTGCATATAGCATTCCTCAGCGCTCAAGCTGACCAGTCGCAATACATAGATTGATTGTATCCTAGCATAGACTGCTCAGCGATATTATAGATGTACAATAAACAAAATGGCATGTTTTCTGCGTGCTGATACCACTTATCCTCCAAAGATGGTCATAATACTCGATAGTGGTTAAACATACTATGTGAAATATTTATGTTCTGGCACGCAATTAAGATCACACGCGATCGACGCCACAGTCGCTCAAAAGTCCTAAAAATAAGAACAAAATTAGAAAGATTCACTAAAGCCTACAAAAAAATACATTTATACGATTTTCAGGTCGCTGATGACGAATATGATATCCAATTGGCAAAGATCAAAATGCCGGATTCAATTTTCTGTACATCGTTGCAATAAATGTTTTGATTGAAATCAAATTTAAATTTTAGATTTTTGCAGGGGCGCTAATAACACTAAGAACGAACCTGATAGCGATTGTTTCAAAAATCGAAATATAGTTTCAGTTGTCTAATAACGAGTTAAATACAGATTCTTAAAAAATCTAAATGGCGGATTCACTAAGACGGATAAGTTTACAATTTGTCGTTTGTGTAACAAATTAAAGTTTTATATACTCCATTTTCAAGTTATAATTCATGTATTATTGTGTAATGTCGTATAATTGGAGTCAGCTGTAGCCAAAATTGACATATTTCCAGACTGATAGACATGCTACTACCTATTCGAATTAGGGCAAACCCTACTGGCCTTTTTTATTGAATTCACTAATTGCGAAAAAACTATCAATTACATATTGTTGTCGTATGATGTTATGGGTCGATTAGCAAGTAATACAATGCAACCCATTTTGTCACATCTGAAAACAGCTGATTGCTTTAAATCTTTTGCACCTTTGACCAGGTTTTTTGATTACCGAACCACGCATGCATTTCCACGTCGACATGAACAAGGTTCAGTGAGCATTACCTCTCCAGTCACAATATGATCACTATAACAATATTCACATTATCTCGAAATAAAAGCAATAATCAAATTCTATTACCGTTCTCGCTTACACCCATTAGGTTATTTATCCATCCCAATAGGCACATATACTAATATTTATTTTGACTATTTTTACTATACTAAAAATACATACTAACATCAAAATGATATTTACAGTAGCAGTACAATATTTCAGAAAGAAGCAATTTTATTATCCCTATCTCTATTCATTACCCTACACCACTTCCTTCTAATTCTTCTTTGTTTTGACACAGGTAAACATCTTTTTTCTGGTCTGACCCATTTTTACCCTAAATCGGAAATTCCGAGCAGATCAACGTTTGTTTGTGAATGACGCGATGCGTGATAGTAGGTCATGTGACGTCGTCACTCAGTCTTGCTCCAAGATAATTCTGCAAGCAAAGAACTTCTGGGTAGGGTAAATTCTAAATTGGTTTCTTACGAATATACAAGGTAATATTTCCAAGTACATATTGCAAAGTAATATTCAGCGCTGCAGACATTTCCCGACGGTCACAGCTTCTGCCAGATTCTTTAAACAAGGTGTTCCGCTATAAATTGTCCTCTAACTTTTTTATGAGCATTCAGAAAAAATGTTTTATTTAAAACTATTCAAGCATTGTATACAGGGTGCCAGTGCCATCGAATAGTGTCCCGTTTAACAACATGAACTTTATTCGATAAGACTTTTCTGAAACATACTGTAGTAAAAAAAACATAACATGAAAAACTTTATACTAGTTTAAGCTATTCAAAATATGTATTGACTGACATCGCTGAGATTTCAGTCTAACATTTTAAATAGGTATTTCAAAACTTTCACTCTTCATTCTTGGAGGGTCGCTTTCCAAAACCTACAATTTTGTGCGCACTTTATACATATTCCAGTAACATTCTCGGGATCATATAAGTGACAGGAGACATACAGATGGACATGTCATGTAGTATAAAAAATGGCGTAAAGTATGTTACCCGCGCCCCCAATTTCTTACCCCTAAAATGTGTCTCAAAAACCATCAGGATCCCTTGAAACGTCAAAAAACGAAGTTTGACTGAAATTTATTTTATCGTTTTTGACAGTTTTCTCCGCCGCTATTAAATTGATTTTAAAAAACTATAAAACTTTTTCCTCCTTGTGAAAATTGCATGCAAGTCAGAGTAGTACTTTCCAAGTTATAGACGGGCCAAGGATTTGCAAACAGACCGACGGAAATGAGTTGGGACATGGTTCCTCGCTAGTGGGCGTGGGAAATAAGAGGCAAATATATTGTTTCGACATCGAAACTACTGCCTCGCCAACTGATGTTGGAAATACAATTTCTAAATATTTTAAACCATTCTTCAGGTTTTAGATGCACGATATTATTCCCTCTAGATCCCTCTGAATGCGGACCTGCCTGTAATAACAGAGGGGTTGTTTATATAATGTATTCAAGTATTAGGATGAACAGAAATTCTGAAAATCACAGTAACTCATCTCTTTTGACTGTAATTTAAACCTGAATGGAGAATCAGCCAATTTATTAAACGCCCCAGAACAAGTTACCGCGGTGGAGGCAGTGCCTTTTTATTAGGCTGAATTTTAGAGGTTATTTTGAATGAGCGTTAATTCAATTCAGGGAAGTATTAACGTAGACAGATTAGGGTGATCAATTCAGTCATTTCCATGGTTAAAGTAGTTGTCTATAGAATGACTGGAAGTATGAGTTTGGGCTTTATGTTTATAGATCAGAATATCTAGGATTTGAAGGAAAAAAATTATGATTTGCTAACAACGGGACTAGATTCTTGAGGGTATATAAAGAGAACCTTCATCTAAAGATACCAATTTTTTTGTTGAAAAACTTTCTTTATGAAATCATTAGTAATTAGACATTTGCAGACACCATTGCAAAGGCCTACCCAGTTCAAAAGGGAAGGGGGGCACTATTTTTGGTGGAAGTTCCACAAATCATATCTACATGTCTGATATCTTTCTTTGTATTTGCATTTCATTTATGTAGAGTCTTCCACGACGATTTGACAATTCATATCCATAGAGAAAACTACTAGGATTGCTTTTTTTGAGCAAACATTGGGCCAGATGTTTTTTAAGTAATAATTCACTCGTTTAAAATATGAATGACATAAAAACTAAGTAATTTAAATTTAAAGAAAATGGTTTTGCTTCCATTCTCACCGATTTTTAGTAAATCTCTACAGAATTACTAGAGTTTCTTATTATGAAACTCTTGTACATCAGATCACGGAGCTCATGTTGGACTATACAGGTACTCAGGAAACTCCGATGGGGAAAAATTGTTACCTAGTTGGTTCCATAAAAACAACGAGGAGATGCACCTACTTTGTTCTAGAACGATTTAAGGAACAAATTTGTCACATTTTCAGCAGTGATCTCCGAAACGGGTCGATTGAATGGTCGCAAATAAGCGTAATTATATATCTTAGAAAACACATTTGAAAACTTCCGCTGCTTCCAGTAGCAGCTTTGAAAGAGGAACGAATTTTCCCAAGAAGCGTTTCTATTTTTGTCTCAATTTATTTGAGATAGGATTTCAAACTAAGGTGTACATTGATATTGCCACTTTTTGATCTCTGCAAGGTGGCATAAATAGAACATTAATATGATTTTTCGTCTCTTATCACCCGTCTCAACTTTGATTTTTCATATGTGCCATTTTTGCATAGAGTGTGCTTTTAACTCTGATTCCAAATATTATAGCATATGATACATTTTTATGAGTAAGCCTTCAAATTATCATATATAGTCATTAATTTCATAGAATATCAAAGATGATAATACTCGTATGTTACGCATTGATATATAACTTCAAGTGCCTAACTTCATATAGTCGATATATTTATAGTTGATTTAAGCTCATCGAATGTGGAACAACATAATGTAGCTCATATTATTTAAGGGTAATAATGAAAACATCAAAAATGGTATGATTTTAAAAAACTGAAAAATGAAACGTCAGACCGAAATTATATTATACCACTTGGTAGAAGAAAGAAAGTGGTAATGTTATTGGGTCATTGCTTGAAATTTGTAGACAATGTAGATGTTTGAAAAGTTTTGTCTCGGACTACTATCAAAAAAAAAAAATAAAAACGACTGAGTAAATTCGGAAATACTCTGAATTTCCAAACTGTTCAAGTTCCATTTTTTATTAATCTAGGTAACTTGCCCCCATAAAGTACTCCGCGTCATTCAGGCGAATGTCACAATGAAATGTGATATAGTATATACTGGCCGTGTAACCTGGACGTCATCTACTGATGACACGGACCACAGTAAATACTGATCGTGTGACGTTTGTTTTACTGTTTCCAAGAACCCAAAGGCGAGGTTTCAATTTGAAACACACGTAACATATATAGTGCTTTTAGCAAAACTAAGCTTATATCTGACATTGATTTCAACTAAGTAATCCTAGTAATTTTTCATCTAATAGATATTGATTCAGCTTGTGGAGAACCCTGAGTGAATAATTTAATTTTTGTAAAAAATGTTCTCTCCATTTGATTTTTGCCGAGATGGGGCAAAAGGTGGGCAACTGCCCCCCAGCCCCCCCCCCTAGGTACGCCCTTGCGCCGTTGAACATTTTTCAATGTTCTTAACTTTTGGCTATTATTTTAGATTTACCGTTATGCACTATACGGTAAAAAAAATAAGTATAGAATCCGAAGATTTCTGAAGTTTTGGTAATAACAAATTGACAAATTAACCATTTAAGTTCTCATTGGAAATATTTTTACAACTTTGTTTAGACCACTTCCGCCAATAATTGATAATAATAATATTTGAATATACGTGAAAAAGTGGGTTTTCCAAATTTAACATTTTATAAAAAAGTAACCTATGGAGGTTAATGATAATATTTGCAAGAAGGCGTAATGCAATAGTCCGTCATGGATGATTGCCTGCAACATATTATCACCTGTTTAATCTGGAATGCGCACATGGGCGGCGCGAAAATTTTATATACCCTCAAGCATATAATTCCGTAATAAAATGGGTTACCTAGGTCTAGAATCAACATCTTAGAGAACTTGGAGGAACAATTTTGTTTGTAGGTATAATGGTAGAAAAACTACCCGTCGTTGATGAGAAAATTATTTGAAACTGTCTGCATCTATCATTGACAATAGCGTTTTTGCATAGTAATGTCTATAAACGTAGGCGTTCTTTATGTGAGCAGGAATTAAAATCTGTTGAGATGCAACTGCTAAGATAGGAAATATCTAGGGTCTGACCAAAACTTACTTACGGCCAAAAATGCACGTTCGGCATTTAGCCAAAAAAGGCAGAAGGTTTGGCTGGAGGTTTCAAAAAATCAGTACTTACGAGAACTTCGACGGAAATGACATGTGCTGGAAGATTAAAAATGAACAGAGCTTCGCACTCCTTGTGGACAGCGCCTATGGAGGAATGCAACAACGGTCTACAGTATAGAATTTACAGCTTAAGCTATTCAAACTCTAAATGACAGCCGCTATAGTGATATATCTGAAGCAGATATCACATCATCAGAACCAAACCATATAGATTAGACCAATTGATATTAGTATTTTGGTTGATCATGCTGTTTTTGAAAACGGTGCCCCAGTGGTCGATTCTTACGTTGACTGTGTGATAAAGCTGCATAGTCCTGTCCAAAAGCCATCGATGTCGTCCTCTTCGACCTTTGGAAACAATCATTCTTATAGCATAATAGTCGCTACTGACTGAAACGCTATCTCTTTGCTCGTTTTCCAAGAAAAATGACTCTGATGCTGTCGGACCAAAAACCTATAATGTATTCAAATTCCATTTGCGCTCAGTCAAAACAAACACCAGCTCGCAACGTTCAAATTCGCGCTCCTGCTGGCCAGCGGGCCATAGATACCAGCACGTGGCAGCGACAAGCGAATGGTAGCAGCTTCCGAGTGCTCATATTTGTTTTGACGGAAAGTAAATGGGATTTGAATACATTATAGTTACTCGTTGTGGATTGAGTTTCTCCTCTACGATGCGTGGATTCTCAGAACTACATATTATGTGGCAATCTTACTTATTCACGTAACATAGGAAGGTGAAAAGAGTTTCATCAGATATCATACCGATTCATTTCATACATTTCAAAAATAAATCTAATTTTCGGATTCGTCGTAGGTGGAATTTTGACTTTTGATGTCAATATAACCGTTACTTCAAACTAGATGGCTTACTTTGTATGTATGCACGATTATACTTCTATTTAGCAGCATTCCACCGCATCTATTTCGTGTATGTTTTTGATGTGTATATTTTTGTCTCTGACCAAGCTTTTAATTTAAACTTACATCAAATTTATATTCAGTACTATTCCTGTCTCTTTCACGAATCTAATACAAATTGATGGGTAATAAGTCAGAAGTCTAAATGCCAGGACACCGCGGCTGCTATGAGATCCCAAATTTTTTTTGGTAGTTTGACCTTTGAACTGCCTAAGGTTAGTAGAACTGGGAAAAGCTTCCTCTGGCCAGTTCTGGATGTACGAAGTTCGATATGGTTAGAATGAGAGGCCGAAGTCAGACGGGTCTGTTTGGCAGGCACGTCGCGCGGCGGCATCATGGAGGAGAGCTCTGAGGAGCAAGGCCCGTTGGTGTAACGGTAAAAAGAGCTAGATCGCAGACGGTCCACCGGTGCGAAGGACCCGTATTGTAAACGCAGTAGCTTATTGACAGGTACTTAAACAAAAATATCCCTATTTATTAAAGAAATGGGATTGCATTTTCAAATATCTGAAAATCGTGCCTTCACTTCTCGTTGAGATAAAGTCTACGCCAAGTCGTCACTCGTCATTGCCTGTGGGAGTAATAAAAATTGAATCATCATACGCTTGCCAAAATGCTACCTCCGCATTTCGTCACCAGGAACATCAAACACTTGATTGAATTAAATTAACACACGTGTTTATTAACTGAAAACAATAATCAAGATTTTACATGTATTGTTATTAATTGCGTTAAGAGCTTATTAAATTTGTTTCATTACCTAGGTAGTATAAAAACTGTTGTAAGTACAGGGTAGTCAGTCCTCGTGCGCTTGTATAGTAGTACATCATCAGACAATATGTACAAATTGTTATTCATTTTGCTTATCGGACTCATCGGCTTCCAGGTATGTAAAAAAACTTATAATAAGCAGCAATATAAATCTTTTTAATACTATCTGCCTTATATCTAAATTAACATTCTATTTGCAGGTAGCACTGGGACAAAAAGAGGAAGAATGTAAGTAATTTCTGATATTACATCGGATAAGTAAATTTTTAAGATTTGTCTTGCACTTGCCTATAAATTGAATTCTAAGAAACCCGATTACATTTCCTTGGAGGTAAATGCTCGATCAAAATGATGTTTATTTAATATGTTAACCTAGTAGACACTTCAGTTCAAAGCCCAGTTACCAAATTATGCGTTAATATTTATAATTTTAACCTTCTAACTACATCTTCTTGAATACATAAGGAAAGACGTTTTCAAAAAATACAGGGATTTACAAGCTCTTAATGCACGACTGAAGACATCGAACACCAGGAAACAATGAACTATTTTATCAATAGTGGGATTTTTAAGGTATATGAATCCTCCTTGCTATGACCCCGCAGCATGTCGCTCTCTAAATTCTGTCAAAATCGGTGCAGCAGTTACTGCGGTTATGCAATGATATTAACGCTAACGGCTTGTCAAGTAGACATGCAGACTGACGTAAAGTATGCTATCTTGATGGAATATTTTAGATTCTATAACGCTCACGATCTGATAAGGTAGAAAAAGATGTAATAAGATTAGTGAAAAAGTCTCTATTATTCATTTTCTACTTGCTGTTAATGTCAACAATACTGTCTTCTAAAACGAAGCCAATATTACGAATAGGCTTGATACAAAAATTTGTCCGAAAGTGAGGCCAAGTAATCTATTCAACTGTTCAAGGTTCTGAAAATCGTATAGCGTTCTTCTTGACTCGGAGAAACAACAATTGTGTACAAAATAATATAAATCAACAAAACTTTGAAATTTATCATTAAGTGCATATACCTTTACATTTTCTAAGAGAATGATATAAAGTAGAGTTTTGTAATTTAGATGATTTTACCTTAAGTTTTAGTTCATGAATGCCACGTCTGATTCCAACTGTTTTTTTGCATTCGATTTTACTTAGCTATTTTCAACATCAATAATATGGTGTTTACTGATCTTCAATCTAGATCGTATCAGCTTATTACCTACCCAACTCGTCAAGATAACATCTTTCAAATACTAAAAGTAGAGAAAGGCGCGCAAGGCCAATATAGATTGTGATTCTAAACATTCCCGATATACATAGTGCTGTCTGTGCTCATATTGGACACTGTATATTTTCTTGATTCACCTTGTCTATATTGATCCACTCTCAGGTAATGGCGTACTACATAACAAAGAAGGAAATACATTTTCTTAAATTTTTCTGGTCGAAGAAAGATCAATGAAATATGTTTGTGGGAGACACGCGATGCCAGGCATTAGAAATAAAATGTTTTCATAACATCCAGTTCTAAAAATGTCACGATGTGTCACTATGGATTTATTTCATTGTCAGTAACCCCTCGGTTTAACGATTTTTTGGTTCAAATTGCTATTCTGTTCTATAAATACCTAAACTAAACCTAAACTTATTACGTTGCAACTTTGCCGTGATACATTAAAAGCTTGGAAGGGATTCTTAACACTTCCATAGCTGGAGTGAAATTAGTTAATATATGTACTTAATTATGTTTTTAAGCAGCCTATTGATTCATTTGAAAGATTCAGATTCGAATATGTATACAATATGAGAAACCAAGCTAAAACGTACTTAAATTTAAAATCCTAATAAGCTATAAGATAAATTTATTTCCACAATTTTAATAGAAGTTTTCGTTTTAGCTGAACGGTGCTTTGGTGGATCCATTTTGACCGGGACAGGAATAATTACCAAACTGATTAGAAACAAGCTTGGCCTGTTAGTAAGACTATTAGGATTTGGGGGATGTAATTACGAATGTAACAACTAAAATGTTGCCTCAAGATGAAATGTATTATACACATATTACTGCATTTATTCCAAAAAATGTGAACCAGAAATATCAAGTAAAGTAAAAGTGTTGAATGAACTGCTTTTATTTTTTATATAACCTACCACACGACTTTCAGTTAAATGTAGCACAGTTATTTCATGTTGCATCTAACATCTTGCGTTATCTAAGGTGAATTCAACTTATTGTTTCTAGTAGATGTTAATGTCTGAATTTTGATTTTTTAATAATCAACCAAAACCGGCCTTGGAGATCCTTCTGTTTTGAAAAGCGATATGCTGTGGAATCATAGCATTGTTTTAAGATGGTGCAGTGGTGGCGGATCAATATATTAATAATAGTCAAAGCATTACTAACCTCAGTTTTGGTGTTCGTTTTGACCTCTTCAACATCTTTAAGCATAGCCAAATATCTCAAACTAAGAGAAATCTTAAACTTTGTATTTGCACAGAGATTCCAGAAATTTTAGGAACCGGACTTCAATATTTGTCTAGCTCACAAAACCTAACTTCTTTCATATATCTACTGTCTTGTAGGATGCTAAGTACATGATAAATATGTATCTCAATTCTACCATGAAGGAAATTATGGCGAAAACATATGTCTCATATGATTAAAAAAATTGTTTGAAAATATTAAAGCTATATTTACATTTTGCTTGACACCGGACGTCAATAATGTATGTTATGTTTTAGTTCTCATGGCAGCTATTACCTAGATATTACGCATTTACCAGTTGGAGAAAACCCATCTTCGCCATTACCCACTGGTGATCCATTTGTCTGCATCATGTAAAATACACCATTGTCAACGTGTACATTTACATTTATCTATATTTTGATTAGCACGTAGACAATTTTTTTACACCGAAGCAGCCACGCAGGCAGAATCCTAAACGACAAATTTTGTTAATCCGATTTTTGAACTGCCTAAGCTTATCGTAGGACTGGGAAAAGCCTCCACAATCTCGACATCTTCGGGACAAAGGAGCGGTCGTAACGGCAACTTTTGGATGTACGATGTTCGACACGGTTGGGATGGGAAGCCGAAATCAGGCGAGTGTGTCTGGCAGGCACTGCTCTGAGGAGCAAAGCCTGTTCGTGTAATGGTAGAAGAAATCTAGATTATCGACGGCCCGCCGCGCCGGTGCGAAAGGGTCTTGATACTGTCTGCTAAAGAATCGATCAGTCGGACAGCCGTATTCTGGACAGCATCGAGCATAAATAATATAGTCGGGCTGTCAGCACCCTAAACGTGAGAGGATTAGTCGAGGCTAGGTCTTATCTGGGGTGAGGAGAAAAAACTTCTTAGCCTAGCAACAACAAATAGCCTAGCATTTGGCCAGCAGCTGCCGCTATTCACGAGATGTGTCCATACCAGATCAAGTCCTCGGTGATTTGAACAGCTCTTTGGCAGAATTCGGCCATCCAGCGAAATCGGATGAGCGTTAGGACCCTTTTTGTTGGTCAAGGTATAGTACTTGTTTTGAAAGCATTAAACTGTACAAGTTTGTTGCGTGCCCTAGCAGTGATAACCTCCAGGTCTCTAGTCACAGAGAAAGTTGCTGCTAGTCTTTTTTCCAGCTCACCGGCAGAGATCGGCATGTCGCCCTGAATTCCTGTATGTAGAGTGCTGTCGTCAGCTAAGCTGTTGATTGGGTAGATCATTACAGGAAAGGAAGTCGTTGATATGTAAGAAGAAAAGTGTCGGAGTCTGGGAAACACCCGCATTGACGTTGTGGGGTGAAAATGAGAACCCGTCAATTACGACGGATATCTTGCGGCCAAAGAGAAAGTCAGCCCCTAATCTGCAAAGCTTCTCTGGGAGGCCATAGGATGAAAGTTTCCATAAGATACCAGCGGGCCACAGTGGATCGAACGCTTTCGTGATATCAAGAGCAACGACATGAGCCTGACCATATGAGTTTACTCCACAACTGCGTGACGTAAGCTAGGAGGTCTTATGCCTAAATGTAACTTTTCGCATAGTCTACCCTTTGAATCGATGGCACTCGGGCGTTGGGAGGGACGTCCATGGTGGAGTTGGCAGCAAAGATCTTAGCAAGTACTTTCGCCTTAGCCTCTGAGTCACTTACAATCATTTCTTCCTGACACGTAGGAGTAAGTGGTAGAAGGCTACTCTGAGAGAAGTTCCTTTTAATCTCCTTGGCCAGCGTGTACAAAGACCGACTGTCATTGCGCTGCGACATTGCCCTATCACTAACTTTTATATCGTGCAGGTCTTTGGCATTGCAAACCGCTTCGTTATATTTGTTCCTAAACTCAACGTCGGTTTGTCTGTTCTTTATAGTGGGGTTTTGTGAGAAGGTTCTGTCTGTCTTGTGTCTTCTGCTGACGAGCAGTGTCGCACGATTTGTTGAACTAGCCGTTGGACCTGGTTTAGACACTTTCACTGTATGACGGATGTATTCTTCCAACCCAACGTGGATAATTTTCGTTATGGATTAACGGGCAGCCGACGCATCCGCGTCAGTGACACATTTCTCCAAGGAAAGGTGGAGGAGAAGTCTCTAGCCCCTCCCCGTCGACATTTCGATAATGCCAAAGACAGGATAGCAGTGATGTAAGGGATAGGATGCATTGTTAGAAATAGTTCTAGCAGACTACTGGCGTGTGACGAAACGCGGGAGAAAAAGTAGGTCTCGACATCATCTGGGTCAGTCTTTGGGTAATAGCGAACGCTTCAACTGCACGATCTGCTGCATCGGTTCTATTTGAGCCTAACCAAAGCTCATTATGGGCATTGAAATCACCGACTAGAACTACCTTTGAAGTTTATGTTATCAGCGAGGTATTCAAGTAGGTCATCCCAGTTATGGTCCGAGGGAGAACGATAACAACAGCAAATAAATTTGGGGAATGTTTTGGAGTTGAGGCGTAGCCACAGAATGTCCTTCCGGTCTGATCCCAAAGAAACATCTCTGGTGCAGGAAAGACTTCTGCGGGCAAAAGCCACAACTCCCCCGTTCTTTCTCAGATTGGAGTAATTTGGGAAGCTAAGATGATTAATCGGTGCAGACTCTGAGATTTTTGTCTCTGAAAAGAAAAGCATAGCGGGACAATTAGATTGCAGAAAGTGATGAACAGCATTAATGTTCCTGTTACAAATTTTATTATCGATGTTGTTCCCTCGAGTCCACCCTCCACCCGGACATTCCGAGAGTGGAGTGAATTTACGTCCGGAATTCTTAGTACTCGAAGGATCCACCATTATTAATTTTTTTGTTGGGGAAAGTAACCGACTGCTTAGCTTATGTGTGGAAACATACGGATATTCTTAAGATAGCCTGGAAAAAACTAGCGGGTGGTACCGCCTCCGTCGACTGGTCAATGAGTACCACCTTATTTTTGCGTGTTCATTGTGTTATTCAAATCTAATCGCGGTAATCGGTACTGAGGTATTCCTTAACGGCTGTACAATCACTTGAACGGGAAGAAGTGGTATACACGTTCCGGAACAAGCATTTGCTATGGCCCCACTCAGTATTGTCAGCTGATCGAAAATACAATTACTACAGCACTTATATGGTATTCAAGAATTTTTTTGGTCGGTCGATTTAATATCAGTCTCTTAGTGTCTCTGTAAGGGCATCTGAAGGGCACTTTAAGGTCACCTCAAGGACACTTTCTGTAGAAGCAGAATAACTGAGCCTAAACACATATTATGCAAGTTTTTATCGTCACTGATTCCGAATCACTTGCTCAGTGTGAGACCATTAGAATATCATTTTAAGGTTATTTCAGGTATTACAGGTACAAACTTGAAATAATCCTGGCAATTGGGTCCAGATGCGTGTCATACAGGTTTTTGTGGTCATTAAGCTTAAATCAGAGATAAGATTAGAATGCATTTGAATGTCATTTTAAGGCCACTCATAACAAATAAAGCAAGCTGGGTAATGACTTCCGACCAGCCGCAATAAATTGGCAGAATACAGAGTGTCCCGTAACTAAATGGGCATAGTAAAACGGTAGGTAGTAAGGACCAAGACATTTCCATATCTGCAAATAAAAAAGTTCTAAATTCAGTTTTTACGAACATACATTTATCTAAACACGGTAAAACTTTAATAGCACAAATCCCGAATTTGACTCTCCATACCAATTCAAAATTATGATGAAAATGCGGCATATTGCAATTTGTAGATTTTTAACTTGATTGAAGTTGGTGTGACAAGACAAAATTAGTGGATTTGCATATTAAATGCCGTTTCCCTTCCAAACAGGACTCATGTTGTGCAATATCAGTTGCTCGAATTTAATCATTTAGAAAATTGCCGAAAAATGTCAATAGGGAGAATAACAATAGTTTTATCTTTTATTTATATCATGTGTAGCTCTTCGTTCCGCGAAGTAATAATAGATTCAGAGTATAACTTATAGGGCGTTGTACTTAATACAATACAAGGAAATAAAAGAACTGAATCCGATCCAGGAATTTTGAATTGCAAAAACATCTTTGTAAACTTTTAATGAAGTCAAGTCGATAACCATGGAACACTTGGGTTTTCTGACACATAAACTGTAAAGAATGATGTATTTGAGTAAATAGAAACGTTTAACTAAAAACTAAAGAGTCGCAATCAATCTATTCTGCTAGTTGATTAGCACCTCTTATTGTCTTTTTTGTACATAGTCATACATCTCAATATTTAGCTTAAGAGGTATTGGGTTTGAAAAATCAAAAAGTGGAAAAAATCGTCTGGCCCTGGACTTTTTAACTGTCCATTTAGTTTTATGTTACTCCGGTTTTGTAATGGCCTGGGATATGTGGTAATAAAGATTTGACGCGAATAGATAAATCACCATGTACTATATATCCGTAAAAACTGAATTTAGAACTTTATATTCGGTTATGAAAAGGTCTCAGTCCAAACTACATACGATTTTATTAACTCGTGTTAAGTACACAACACCCTTTATAAGGCCATATTTCTCAATAGTTCGTTAAAGTTAGTAAGTATAGACTGTATATTTCAACTGGCAGTAATTTGTGATTCACAAACATCATAAAGACCATTCAGACAAAACTTATCAAAGCCTCTCCAAATATTAGTGACATAAAAAGATGAGGTAGTGCGAGTCTGCTCTGTTCAACCCACAGAGTGCATAAAAGCAATAATAATTGTTTCAAATGAAAGTTCAAACGCTGTTTATTATGATCCGTGTTAATATTTTTATCGCACAGCACAGAGTGCCTTCCAAATTTTGCCGTGACGAATGACTCACCATAACTTTGAAGTTTTATAGCATGCCATGGGAAAGCGTGAGCAACGTCTTGTTTCCATTACCAACTTTTTTGAAGTATTAACTGTAGAATAGGTAATTAATCTCATCCATTTTCAATATTTTGTTTTTTGACCTGCCCAGGTTTTTGCATAAATACACTACTGTCGGACTCAATGATTTGTAATTTGCACTGATTTTTATTAATATTCTGTTTCAGCTGAACGGAGGGGTGGATTCAAGGTAGCTGTAAGTCCCCAACCCCACTTTGGCAGCGCGATCGATAAAGTTACTGACTTGATCCCTAGTCGCTCAATTATCTTCGGGAAATGCAAAGGCCTTGCTATCAGGTTGCTTGAGTTGATATTGTCACCCTTTAATCGATGTCATTGTGGTACCACATATGTGAGGCCGCCAGTGAAAATAGAACGCAAGATAGTAGACCAGAAGGTCACCAACCCCTTCGGGTTCTTTAAATCAGAACCCAACAAATTGGCACCGACAGAGTGACATGACAGATAACTGATAATATATGTAGATGAATTTATTTATGTTGGCAGTTCAATGAAGCAATAAAGCAATGACCAAAAAAAGCCTATGGATATTCTGTGTTATTTATTTTTATATTCCTTCTTCTTCATTTACGGTAACTGCATGCAATCAATCTTAAACGTGCTCTGGAATCAACTTCAGGCAAAAAAGTATGGTGCGTGTTACATAATATAAATCCAGATGAACCACAACCTATTTGATTGATCTTATGCGTTTCCATAAACCAGCAATGCGCTTGGCATTAAGTAGGTATGTTACCGAGGCGTGAAGTAATATCATATGTCACAGCTCACGACCTTATACATAGTGATTAATAGACGGCTGAAGGCTGCAGCGACACACTGTCTCGAAAGCATTGGCGTTTGAGTCAATGCATACCGGCACGGGTATTACGTAGGTGACATTTTGTCGGTTTCTTTTTTTTTTGTAGGTTTTTTGAGGCACAAGCTGTGTATACTTGTTTTCTAACTGTATGTACCTAGTCTGCAAGATGACATTTCGTCATTTTTTTGCGTTTCTTAGGTTTTTTACATAATACCGTTTCAAATTCGACGCTCACCACAGGGATTTCGGAAACGGTAAGCGGTACGAGGTCGGTTAAATAGGCGCAAAGTTGCGCATTTGAGTAGCTAAGAAGGTGGCATGTAGGAGGTTTCTCAATTCAAAGTATTTCCGGAAATAGACGAAGAAAACAGAATTTTCCCAACATCATTTTTATTTTTCTCAGCCTTAATTGAGTTGAGATTACATAATAAATTGCACATTAGCATCACCAGTCTTTCTTTCTTCAGGGTGGCATAATTAGAATTTCAATTGGACTTTCCGTCTTTTGCCCTCAATCATCAACTTTATTTTTTCTCATGGACACGATATTGGATCCTTTAACACGTGAGTACAGGTTTTAATTCTGATTGCAAGAACGTATAACATGCCATATATTGAAATTGCCAAATCTTATTTATCCCACGACAACTAAAATTTGTATAGTTGACATTTAAAATGACAGCTTATCACATGTCTATCCGCTTACACCACTATTAAAAGATTTCTTCACTTTTTGATAGAAATGGTCAAAAGAAATTCATATAATTTGCCAATTTATCAAATATAACAAGCGTTACTTTAGCACGACGGATACTCCCTATATGACACCTTAGCCGTGAATTTATATAACTTGAATGCAGAATGTGTGAATCGGTTTAGATATGATGAATATGAAATATGCTTAGCAACATCGTCGCAGCTTACTTACTTACTTTAAAATGTTTTATCGGTTTCTTAAATCTATACTGTTTTTATTATTTACTCTTATGATTGTATACGTCTTGATATTCATGTAGACAAAGTATACATTAGCAAATAATAAATCAATTAAGCGGCTTGCAAATATGTAGTGTCTATGCAACTAATTTTTGAATAATTAGAAGAGGTATAAATATAGATATTATATCATAATAATTTATAACTACTAAGCTCTGTCAATATTTAGATTGGCAAGGCCTTTATCGGTCGTTCCTGAAAAGTCATACAAAGATATCAGCTTTTTTGATGTATCAAACTTTAATTGGTTGCGTATTAGCGCATGAAGTAACGATCAGCTCGAAAGCACTCTTTCATAATGTGCTGATGAACCCGAAATTAGTAGCAACTATCTAAGTTCTAGGACGATCTATTTCCACACTGAGAAAAAAATTTAATTATACCAACTAAAATTTTAACACAATAATTAAAAAAATTAATTAACTATATGACAGGTAACAAGTTATTCAGTTTAAGTAAACTCCGGTTTCTATAACAATTCACTAATTTATTTGAAATTAATGACTTATCAAATCACCTAACTTACGGTATAACTGATACATACACTATATTTTAGTGTAAAAGCTGCAGTTGCAAGATGATATACAGGTTGTTACTTTATTATAGGTAGTAATTACAATGGCGCATTCCTGAACTTGAAAAAAAATGTATTTTTTTCCAGTTTGAACAGGTAAATAATCTTGGTATCCCCTCGTACCTTACTTCGTTTTCAGGGGGTGAAAACGACTTCATATTATGTTGAAAAATATTGTTAAAATGTAGTTTGATCCATGCATAATGTTCATTTATACGCCAGTTTTTCAAATATAGGGAAAAAAGGGAACAACAATTTGATAAAATACAAAAAATGTTGTAGAGCGATCACCTCTCATATTTTCACATTTTTCGACATTTGATGAAGTTGTTTTTATTTTTTTCCCTTGGTTACGAGGTAACATGCAAAGACATATCAAAGGACAAAAGGTTGTCTCATTAGCTGCTTAATCCGAAAAACTCTTATGCATTTTTCAAAAAGTCAGTGGAGTAAGTTTTTTTGTCAACGTTATCCGTGAGACTGTCACCCGAGATGGCACTGGAATTCAGAATTATCTCCTATTTAGAGCTAGCTCAGCGTCTTATTGCAATGAACAGCATTGCCAATGTTTGACAAAATCGGCACAAAGATCTCTGAAATATAAATAAAAACAACATATCTATAAAAATTTGACACCCTGTATCTTGAAAACCAAACTTTTTCGGACACATGTTTATTTGAACTTTTCTAATTTGGTTCAGATTCGCATTCTTATAATTACCACCTGTCATTACATATACAGTGCTTCTCGAAAAGTCCCCGTAAGTACCTATTTTTTGGAACAGGTCAGTTCAGAAAGATAAGTTTAGGAATAATCAAATTGATGCACGAAGACAATGTTTTAGCGTTAGTTGAAAATTTAAAAATGGCGACTGGTAAACATTGGAAGATTTTTCTTAAATAGAATGAGGTTTCGTGTGATACCTTATCTTAAGAGTGATTTAGAAACCTACAATATAAAATCACTATATTTCGAAAGGACGATTTGAAAGGCTGTCAAAATTGAGCGTTTTTGTATATTGAGTAGCTTATAACTCAACAACCCATTATCAAAAGAAGACGACTGATATAATATATATATATATATATAATATATATATAATATATATATATATATAACGTTTTGATGATTAGTTGTTAAGCTATAAGCGATTCTATGTTCAAAAACTCTCAACATTAACGACCGCCATTTTGAATGGTAGCGATTTTATTTTATACTCGTATATATCACATGACCCCCCATTCTACTTAAGAAAAGTATTACAAGATCCGGTCCAGCCTCCATCTTGAAATTTTCAACTGTCATTTTTACATTAAAATCAAAATACAGCATTCTCAAGTCAATTTCATAATACCGAATTTCAGATCGCTAACTTAACCAAGTAGAGGGGGGGCTTTCTGAAAAGCTCTGTATTGTATATATTAGATTCAAGTTCCATGTGAGTAGACCCTTGAATATGAAGTTTTTATTTTGCAGAATGGTGAGCAAAAGGGTTCTTAAAGCTGAGCGTCTTGATACGAGTAAGCAAACTTGCTTAAAGCTCAACATTTAAACATCATAACACTGTAAGCAATATCAATCTTCTCGTGGTGTGGTTTATTCGCAATTTACGAAACAGTGCCTTTATCGTTCTAACTTGTCTTGACCAGCTTAAAAAATAATTTGGGGGGCGGCATTAAAGAAAAGCACTGTTGAGTATCATTGTTAGCATATCCCAAATCTGAATTATCCCAAATAACTATATATGAATAGCGATTTGATAAAAATGACGTGTGTAACTATTTCTCACATTCATAGGATTCGTGCCATGAACCGTATGAGTAAATGCTCTGGCATAACATAACACATACATACAGGCCTATTCTTTCAGCGAATTTCAGTCGGTAGGACAGCAAGTTGGAAACAGTTAAACAATCTAGTTTGGAGCATAGAGTTAGACGATATTTTTTTGAGAACCCGTTGCCTCAAATATCCAAGGCAGCCATTTCCCTAAGGCTACTAGAAGGTTGCATGAAATGGAGAATTTATCCTTACGTAGAAAAGTTTGATGGGTTTCAAATGTTTTCGAACGTATTTTCATCGAACATCCAACTTTTTATTAGACGTTTCTCTCTGGTTAAATTTGAATATTCTGAATACGGACACCTTTAGGGCGGCGAACACCAACTAAGAAAATTCAAAACTAAGTATGTTGCTTAAAATATATGAAATTGGCGACCTTCAGGAGTTTTGGGTTCGAATCATGAGATAATATTCTTAATACTGAAGCTACACAGCTCTACTGCATTCATATACGGAATAAATTTCCCACGAATATAACATATTTCCGACAACAAACTAACTTACCTTTTGATCCTGTCATTCGCCACCCTTTAAGTGGCAAAGAAACTTCAGCGCCACCTATCATCAATTTGCCTTTGTTGAATACACTACGGCGACTACGGAAATTGTCCGGTTTTATTCCTTGCTAGGGGACGGCGCAACTATTATAGCTGTATGTATGTATAATAATACGACCAATTTATGTTATTCCTAGTTCTACTTAAAAGTTAGTTTAAAATTTTCATTTGATCCGGTCGTAGATAAAGTTTTGTATGTATCTCGGGCATAAAAAACCTTGGCATATTAGGCGCTTCACGACTTGGGCTCTAATTTCATGCCGCGGACCATAACTGTCTTTACACCCTAGATACATCAATCAAGACCATTTACTAAACGGTTTGAGTAGCCTTCACGCTGCTAATGCCAACTATGAAGGAATGGTTTAACGATATTATTTTGGCTAAATTACTACTGTGACATTCGCCCATTGACTGTGGTGTTCATATGAGGCTTTAAAAGCAGATGGTCCTGGTGTGATGGAATTGTTTACGATTTTAACAAGGTTCCGCGGGTGTCAGTTCTAGAGCTGTGCATTAAACTATTGATTGTTAAACCTCACAATCTGGTTTATAACAGTATCTTCATCACTCAAAACTGCGGGAGCTACTCATGTCTGTCAATTAACAAGTTTCTGTTGCGATCTCTCACAAAAGCTTTTTATAAATCACAAACCCCACTACCAATGAACATCTTTATAAACCACTAAGCCCCTTGTTGCCCTAGTTAAAAAAGAACTAAATAACTTCCTTCCACTCGATTTGTAATTGAGAATCA